AGAATTCTTTTCCTTTTGTCTTTTATCGTTCCTCGTGCCACAACTAACCTGGAAGGATCGACTTTAATGGAAACCTGTTTCTGGATTAATCCTAAATAATATTATATGTAATGTATATAGCTATATATATAACGTTTGTCTTTATAAGATTTTCTAGAATAAGTTTAATCAGTTATGTGAAAAATGAAAATCAAAAGGTCGTCCCAACATTATCTGTCGATGTATGGGCTTAGGGGACATGAATTATCAAAGGGCATGTTGGGAATAAAATTTTGGACTGTCCATCGGTGGCATAGGACCAAAACTTAATTTAATGTCGGATAGTTTTTTTTAGGGTTTTGTGCAAAAAAATCAGTCAACTAAATTAATTTTGCAAAATCAACCCTGAACTTTTTTCTGTGCAAATCAACGCTCCTAACTCTAAAGTCACCCGCTAAACAGGACCTCCGTGTGATTGTTGTTAAGTGTGAACGTTGACTCAAAACACAACGTTTTGAGTAATCAAAAATCGTGTGGTTTTGTCGAAAACAAAGCAAACGCTATACAGTTTTCAATTTTAAGTTTTAATTTAATTAAAATAAATAGTGAGAAAAACCAAATTCTCTGCTTTCGTCTTTCTCATTTGGAAAAACAATGAAGTATTGCTCTGCAGCTTTCTGGGTTCTGTATCGAATTTGGAGTTGGAATCGATGCACAAATGATCTGAAAAGCAAAAAATGTGAGAAAGTCGGAAAATGGTTTCATGTCACCCTTTTAATCAAAATACCCAATTGCTGAACTTGAGGAATAAGAAACTTTCTCTTCGAAACTCAACTCTTTCTCCAAAAAATCTAGCTCATGTACTCACAATACTTGTGATTTGCAAAAATTCAATGGTGAATTGAGATGGGATTTGATAAAATACAATGGTTAATGAAAAATGGGTTTTGATTGATTTTGTTAACGGAGATTAGGAACATGTAAAAATCAGATGAAATCAGCTTCTTCTCTCTCTTCTTCGTCCTCTTTCTCTATCATTTATCTTCTTTTCTTTGAATTTTGACAATTTTTTATTTGCTGTAGATCTGGCCGCCATGGACGCTCGAAACGTCGAGGAATTGAAGAAGAAAGAAGAATGAAGCTATTGTCAACTTTTTTTATTTCCATATTTAATTAATAAAATATCAACTGGTTTTAAACATCATGTTGTTTTTTGAGCTTTAAATGATGCGTTTTTATTTTCTGTTAGTTTTTTTTAACGGAGGTTGACGTTGACTCGTATCAATATAGGGAGGTCTTGTTTAGCGGGTGACTTTGGAGTCGGGGAAATTAATTTGCACAGAAAAAAGTTTAAGGTTAATTTTGCAAAATTAATTTAGTTTACTGGTTTTTTTGTACAAAACCCTTTTTTTTACGAAATGGAATGGAGTTAATGCTTTGTTTGTGGGATACTGGGATTTAAAAATTTGTAAGTGTTAAATTGTTTTTAAAATTATACTGTATTTGTACCTTTCCAATTCCTTATTCTCTTTCGAATTTCAATCTTATCACGTAAAGAAAATCACCTTCTCAACACCACAATCCACAAACAATATGTAGGAAAAAACATTTTTTTTTCTGGTACCATATTCAAAATATTCTTAGGCAACCAGCCAACAAGACCGTAAAGCAAAGAAATTTTCGGTATAATTCCAAACTATAACTTCAAATAAGACAAAAAATAAAATAAAATAAAAAGACAAACAACAAGTGAGGACGACTTAAGTTTTGATTTTAATTTTCTGCTATATTTTCTCCATATATATTGTACCATTTTATCAACAACTAAACAAGTCGCTAGTAGCTGTTGGGGTTTTTTGTTCTTCTAATAAATATATGAGCACTGGATTTTTATTATAATCATCAATCTCGTGAATAAATATTATAAAAAAATAGCACACGCATCTTTCAGTTTCAACCCAAAGTGTCATTTTCACATGTAAATCTGGACACAAATAATCGAATATTTCCATACATTATTGTTATACCATCATTAAATGTTGATATGTGATAGGTGATATCTACATTGTAACAAAATATGCCATAGAAATTGATTTTCCTATCTATATGAAGAGAAGAAGGAAAATAAAAATTGAATGGAAATTCATGTTTCACCCAACCCCTTTATTAGACTCTTATAGTGTCATTTTCTCAAAGGGAACAGAGAAGAAAGAGACTTCTCATTTCCATCATACCTTTTGCCATCTCTCTTTCTCTCTCTCTCTCTCTAACTCTTTGCAGCTGCTTTTCTCTTCTCACCAAGAACAAAATTTCATTAAGTTAAGAAGAAGAAAAACTCCTTTTTTGAAATAGTTAACTCTATACCCTCCTTTACCCCAAAATTCATCGAGATTATCTCAAAACCCATTCACAATTCTCTCTTGTCATGGAGCTTTTCCCTTCACAGCCTGACTTATACCTGAAGATCAGTAGAAGAAAAGAAGAACAAGAAAATCAAGATCAAGAACCAGAACAAGAAATCGAAAGAGGATTAGGGTTTCAGAGTAAAGCCTCAGATGATTCAGACAAAAAGTCTTATGCCAACCACATCAACACTCTCCAATTCACTTCAAAGAAAGAACCCATCAAGATTGGTAATCAAGAGCATAAGGAGTCTCTCGATCAAGACTTGAGATCTATGTTGATGATGAGACCAATAAGAGGAAACCCTCTTTACCAAAATCAAATCCTTGACCACTACTACTACTTTCCCAGTACTCCTCCTTTCTTCTTCAGTGAAGTCAATGGTCAACACGCAAACCCTAATTATAGTTATAATCTTCACCACCGTCATCGGCGTCAAGCTCAGCCGCAGCCGCCGAGATTCACGGCGAAACGAGGAGTAAGGGCTCCGAGGATGCGGTGGACTACGACCCTTCATGCCCATTTCGTTCATGCCGTTCAATTATTGGGTGGTCATGAAAGTATTGTCCTTTTTCACAGTTTCCTTTTTTCCTTTTTAAATGAATTTTTAGCTCTATCTCATTTTCTTTAACAAATTGAATTGGCTTTATATATGTATATATATATATATATATATTTATTATTTTATTGATTTTGTGATTTTGATTAATATTCAGGAGCAACTCCAAAATCAGTACTTGAGCTTATGGATGTGCAAGATCTCACATTGGCTCATGTTAAATCTCATCTACAGGTAATATTTTCCATTAGTTCCTAGCTTATACATTGTATAGCTAACATATAACCAATTAAACCTTTTACTATTTATATAAAATCACAATCTACTACACACGGTTTCACTGTATTATTGAATATATATGCTACTGACTGATTGAACCCACTGCACTGTTTACTGAAATGACTAAATATCTTCTGTGATTAATTGTTTTGGTCACCACCACATGTTGAGCAAATCTATACCATTTGAAACAAGAATTAGTAACCAAAAAATATATATTTATATATATCAAAAGCTAGATATAGCCAAAAGACCAAGAGAAAGTCCTTTTATATCACTAAGAGATGCAGAAGAAAAAGTAAAGTACAAAGAAAGCATCATTCTTCAATGATGATATGTTCTTTCTCAAGATTCATATATGCACACATATATGTATATCAGTATATGCATGGTCCTTCAATGATAATATATAAATTACTTCTTCTTTTTTAGTTTTAATTTGACTATGGTTAGAGTAAGACACGTAGACCCATGCACATCACCCATCTCTGTGTATGGCTGCACATTTTAATGAATCGTAAATGCTTTTACCCTGCTATCTTTTCTTTTCTTACTTTATCCATCTCTCTCTGTGTGCGTGCATATACACATACACGTGAATAAAAGAAGTCTACACACATACACATCACATATATAAAATATGAGTATGTATTATGTATTGATTGATAAAACCTAAACAAGCTACCATTGGATTTTTATTTTTATTTGATCAAGTTATAACTATCTTTGTTATATTTTAGTTGTTTTGTAATCTAAGGTATAATGTTTCAGATGTATCGGACCATCAAATCTACCGAAAAAACTACAACATCATCAGGTTATTTGATTAATTGTATTCATTTAGTTAAATTATTGGTTAATTATACTAAAGTATCTGATAAATGTGTGTCTGTATATATAGGGCAGTCATATACTAGTGAGAATGGATTACAAGTAAACAATGATAAACAAGCAAGAGATCCCCAAGGTCTGTGGAGCAACTCCTCAAGGTATGTTATATTTTAATTGTTTGTCTTAGTTGATTGGTTTATGTATTGTATATGTTTTTAAATTATTTTTTGGTGTTAAGTTTTGTCTGGACAGATCGCTATGTACTTATTAGGCAACTTTCTATATTAGCATCATATGAGAAACTTCACATTAGTCCAAAACCATTTTACATTATTCCTTTAAAAAACAATTATGTGATAAAGTTGGGATGTCTGTATAACAGTGAAGCTCGGTTTCATTTAAAGGCAAAGGCATCCTCAGTTGTAGACATTTCATCCAATGAGGTATCAAATTTATCAAATAAAACGGGACTGCAAAATTTTGAGGGTGAAAAAGTGAAAAGTTTTTGGAAAGAATTTTCATTTACTTTTTCTCTTCCATTTGGGTAAATTGAAAAGTATTTTTTTTTTGTCTCAAAAGCAGAGAAAATAAAAACTTTTGGGGATTTGATAATTGATATCTGTAATACTTTAGCTATCCAATTCAAAAGATTTTAAAGTCTTCAAATTACTTTAACTGGACCTTTTTATTAGACACCAAACAGAAAGAACTTGTAAATATATTCAGTTTTACAATACTATATACTATGATTATTATTCATATAATCTTTTTGTTCATAAAATCGTTTATCAGAATATGGATCGAAGATGTCCAAGCTACGAACGATTGTCGTCGGATTCGTCAAGCCTCACAGGGACAAGACCAGACACTGAAACTCCCAATCTCGATTTTACTTTAGCTACACCAAATCTTTCTCCCTAGTTCACTATATCTATACGATAAAAAATATGTTAAATATATATAAATCTCAAACTTTAAAGTTATGCTTAAGTTATGAAAAGAAGAAGATGAAATGACGTGTATTTTCTTGGATTATTTTTGATAAAGAAATTCTTCGATTATTGATTTGTTCTTTTGTCCTTTAAAATTTGAGATGCTTTTTCTTTTTTTGGTTCGTCGATTTGAGATGCTTGTATATGCAGACTTCTTGTCGCAAAAAAGTGGAATTAAATTATTTGGTCATCATTACAGCGATGCAAAGCGACGACTGATCCACGTGTCCTAATCGGACTGCTTTATTACTGAACACATTGTTATCTGACACGTGCCGGACGTTGACGCATCATAGACTTTCACACTATTTTTCCTTCCCAATATTCGATGTTTGGTAAAGACAAAAAAAGAGAATAATACGTTATCTGAATTCTGAATGGATATTTCAACAATAAATAAACGAAAAATGATTTTTTTGTTTTATTTTTTTTAAAAGTGAAAATCGGTTTTCATTTGAAAAATCTTAACAATCTTATGAGATATCCATAAAACACTTGTCTTTTTAAGTGGTTCATATATTTTCAAAATTTTAAATTTAAATAAATAGCTACATTAGATTTTTTTTTTTTTTTTTAAATCCTAAAGTACCTGATATTAATGGCAACTTCTATTTGTATAAAAATATTAAAAACATATAACAAGAGCTTAAATTCACGAACAATAGGTTAGCTAATAAAGAACATACCTTAATTATCTACTCATTTATTCTTATCATTTTTCTTAATTTTTAGATTAGTCAATACAAATATATTAGATAAAATAGTCGGAGGCATGCATTTCTGTTTTTTCCTAGAACGAAAATATCATACTGTAGATCTTAAAAACTCACAAGTTGACTCGATTGTTAGCGGGTAGGCTTTTACTATTTGTTGAAGCTAGACCCAACACTTTGTTAAGAAGCCACGTGAAACTATTTAAAAGAAGAAGAAGAAGAAGACGTATATAGAAAAAAAAAAATCAATAACTAATTTTTTTTTGTATCTCCGTAAAATAACATCTAATACATTTTCTATAGCGTACCATACTTTGAATTTCATGAGAACTAAATATTTAACACCTTGAAAATTGTTAAATGAATGTACTACTTTATTCAAAAAAACGAACTCGCTTTTATTCTTCGGTTAATGTTGTTTATACGTTAAGTTTGTTGAAGTGATCGCATCTGCGTCTCACCTCTCCATCTTTATCGCCTTTAACACCGACCGTGCCTAGTTTCTCCATGGCACGTGCGAAATCTTCGAAGAAAACTGTCTGATTCTCCGCGTATAAATCCACAAACGGTCTCGTGCTCTTGTCTTTAAACAAGATGTGGTCGGAAGCCAACAGTCCAAGCCCACGTTTCAAGTTCTTGAAATACATGTTATCAAATTTTCCTGGCGTTATCGGGTCGAGAAACGCCGCCATCGTCTTATTCACTTTGTAGTCCTTGCAAAGACCTTTAAGAACGCCGGAGAAGTGTGCGTCGAGCTCTGGATCAGGCTTTGGTCCGAAGATACGATCAGCGAATTCTTTGCAGTGAGAGAATCCGACCGTGTGCCCGCCGCTTAACGCAACCATCTCTCTTACAGTGAAACCGTTCTTTGTGAATATCGACATCATGTCTTGCACCGTATGGTTCGGTAACGGTATGTTTCCTCGAACTTTATGGGCTTTTGATTCAAACCCATCTTTACGGCCCAATTTGACTTCATAGAAAGGCCCACCAATCATCGTGACAAGGTCACGCGTGGATTGAGCCAAGATGTCTGCGCAAGAGACCACACCGGGACAAGCCAGTTCGAGAGCGGTTTTGACGCGAGTCACGATGTCGAAAGCATCTCCTGGAAGCGACTCGTTGAGGTCGTCGTCTTTCTCAGCTTTGTTGAAAGAGTTTGTAGCGATTAGAACGGATCCGTCACATCCTTCCAAGAAACAATCGTGGAAGAAGAGACGCAGCGTTCCAGCAGCTGTCGTTGGCTGCGCTACTTGCTTCGTCGAGACTGTTTCACGAACGATTTTACCAAAATCGGGACATGTTTTTTGGTAGTAATCTTTCGTTAAACTCGTCACCGGTGGAGCCGATGATATGGACGGGACGACAAAGACTAGGACGACGAAGAGAGCGCCAAGAAACGATGACATTGTGGATTTCATGAGACGAATATCGATTTACGATTGATATGCTATAGTAAACTATTGAAATTGAATTTAAATCAAGACATGTCAACGAGGTAGACCACTCTATTTGATTGTTGCCGAGGAAAAGTAGAAGCATGTGTTACATGTGGTTGGAGTTTGGCTACTTTTCCTATTTTTTACTATATTTGTCATTAGTCCATATATAGTATGTGTCTTTCCTAATTTCTGTTATTAACTTGGGGAAGTGTCAATGTTGGTAGTAGAGCGTTGGATATGTGAAAAATATTGAGGTTAAGTTTGCATATATGTTTTGGTTCGTGTAATATCATATGTTCACTGATTGAAGTTTGGGAGTGATATTAGTGACTTGATTTTAGGTTGATATACTCTCCAAAAGCTTGTTATATCTCCGGACACAATATTTGATGGGCAAATCGTTTTAGGCTACGAAAGTAGACCTAAAGAGTTTTGTGAACAATCATTACTTGGATGTAATGCATGTCTCACTCTACAATGACCAACGAAAGCTGAGCCCATTGGTTTAAGAGACATAGGGGATTGGAACCACGAAAGTGGAATAATCCTTCCTTAGTGTTTTGAGTTCAAAAGAATCGGATTTTAACAAACTTTTCAATCGACTTGGCTCATGTTTTCAAAAGAGTTTTCAATAGTTCAATAATGTTGCTTGTATAGAATTGCATTGTTATTTGCTTTTGCGTGTTCTAAACAAACACAAACCCTTGCATCTTTTGATTTAGCTTAGTCATTTGAACTCTATGATTATGTAATGTGTGAAATCCAATCCCTTGTGGTTCGACCCCTAAATACTACAATTATATGTTGTGCACTTGCAACACTAGTTGTCTTAGGGAATTATTACTTGTACTCATCCCTTAGATGCAGCGATCACTCACCTGACAGAAGACTTGTGTGTTGTGGTCACTGAAGTCAACAATGTTGAGGACAACCCAAGGGAGTGGTGGTACGACACAGGTGCCACTACCCACATCTGCAATGATAGGGACATGTTTAGTACCTATCAGAAATGCAACAGTGAAGAACGCCTATTGATGGGAAACACTGGTTCTTCCAAGATTGACGGTCATGGCAAAGTGGTGCTGAAGATGACCTCATGAAAGGAGATCACTCTCCAAAATGTGAAGCATGTGACAGACATGAGAGAGAATCTGATTTCTGGTACTCTTATGAGTAAGGCCGGATTTGCTACCACTTTCGAGTCTGACAAGTTTGTGCTCAAGAAACATGGGGTTTACTTGGGAAAGGGGTATGCTAAGGATGGACTTGTCAAAATGTGTGTCATGCCAGTCATCCAAAACTGAGTTGTAACTCCTAAGAATAATGTTGTTTCTGTTTTTTCAATCAGTAAGAATAATGTTGTTTCTTTTTTTATTAGGTGTTGATTGGTTCACCCGCTGCTACCCGCAAACGCAGCGTTTGCGGGTAGTAGCGGTTATTGGCGTTTGACAACAATCACCACAAACGCTTTATACCGCTTCAACCGCTCAAGATCAACTCAAAATCAAAAGCTCCTTCCCAGCAGCGTTTGCGGTTGCGGGCGGTTGCGGGTGGATAATTAAAAAAAAAAAAAACAAAACTTATATAAAATCCGAAAATAAATAATAATCTTTATTAAAAAATAAGATTTGGATAATAAAATCACAATATAAATAAAAAATTAGTACTTTTAGTCAATATTCATTAAAATCATATCATACTTATATATTTATAAGTTCTACAAATCAAAATTCTCTTGATAAATATTCTTTTCATACTAATACATATATATCTAATAAATAAAATTGTAATATAAATTTAATTTTCACATTAAATATATATTTTGAAAATAAAATCACATTTTTATTTAAATTATAGAAATTAAAAATAGACGTAAGTATTATACACATATTATTCTTTATAAAAAAATTATTTTTAATTATGTTGAACCATAAATTTAAAATTTTCATTATAATATAGTTTTGATATTTTTATAATTATATAATGTGTTTATATTATTAATTTATTGTTTAACCGCTATTGCATCCGCAAGTGAACCAGTCATAAGTACCCGCAAACGCATCCATTTTCAATTGTTATGCCAGTCGTACAAACCGCTTAATAACGCTACTAATCACAACCGCCCGCTTCCGCAAACTCCCGCACCCGCAACCGCAACCGCAGCGGTTAAACCAGTCAGGTCCAAGTCTTTTCAATATTTGTTATGAATGGTTAAGGCATGAAATTATATATCTATAAGAGATTGTTTAATTCATACTTATTTCCAAAATGCAAATCAAGTAAAGAGAAATGTGGGGGAAAAGCATTGCTTACCACATAAAGTCATTTAACAAAATGTTTTATGAACTTTGAGAAAAAGGGGCCAAGTACATTTGTACAATACCTTGAAAATGTGGGGTACATGGAAAAATTCGAAATGCTACCTCCTAAATATTTAAAAACAATTAATCTCAAAATGAAATAATCTTTATAGATTATATTCAAGTAAATGACAACCTAGGATCCAAATAAAGGTGTGTCATGAGATCAAGTTGTAAAATCATCAAGAGGAATGGGTTAAAAGCCTATGACTTAAGAGGATGTTTAATGGTAACCCTACCTAAATGACTGGAGATCCCAAGAAATAGGTTCAAGGGGAAAACTAAGTTAAACTGAATCTGCCCAAAAACACTGTGAGATTTATATCTATTCCCAGTTCCTAGGATGATAAATAGTGTTACATGTATGGTATAGAGGATAAGCATTAGCTTTTAATGATTTGGGTCCATAACTTTGAAATATACATGGAGTAGTACATGATACTCCTTTAAACAAAGTTAATGGTGAATCACCTTGTGAGTGTGAAATGGGGCCGTTTCTAGGAGAATAAATAAAAGGCTATATTCTCCAACTTCACTCATGATTATCCAAGTATGTTCATGGCCAAAATGAACACAATAGAGAACCTAGTTCTGTGAGAGAATGAAACTGTGTTATAGTTGTTGTCTTGGTTTACATCAAAGCCCGAGAGGTTCAAGACATCATGTTCACCTCTTGGTCGAGTAAACCCGATAGCTATTAACAGTGATTTGGTTCAAGGCTGAAAAATGCTACCAACTCATATGCAGTGGATTTTTCGTTTATACTCTCAAAAGTCCTTTTTATTTTATTTTTTCAGTCTTTTCTTCTTTTGTTTAGATTCATTTCTATTCATGTGGGGGATTGTTGGAACTCGTTTTTGACAAAATGGTTTAAGACCATTTTCCGGTTGGTTTTCCGGTGAAGACGTTTGTCGGAAAAACCATATGTTAGGCACGAAAGAATCGTCGCCATAAACACTATGAAATAATGTATTCATATGTCAAAATCAGAGTTGATTTGAATGAGAAATGGAGTTTATAAATGGGTGTTTATAAAAGCTTATATTTTGCTTATATATTGGCTAAGTGTTAAAATTAGCAAATAGCCCATATTAGATATTTGGATTTGAAGTTTGGGTTATAATTGTTAATTGGATATCAAGTCCATTAACTTATTATTATGGACCAAATAAATTTGTATCTGTGTTTATAATTTTTCATTTTCATTATTAGTTAGTTCTTTTATAATTATTTTATTAGTTTATTTATTTATGTTACTCCATTTTTCCAATTTTCTTTTGTTGATACATTTCCAATTTACACCATCACCTGATTAAATATTGGACATGATTTTTGATTTCTTAATGAGAAAAAAATATATTTTAAATATAGCTTGTTATATATTGGTTTTTGTTTTCCTTTTCTTAATGGGAATATGTTTTTTTATACGTTTTCTTACTAGATGTAATATTTTTTAATTATTTCATTATGATTTTTTGTTTTTTTATTTTTTCGTAATAGAATTATTTTTTTCTATACTTTTCCTAATGGATGTTATATTTTTTGTTTAATTGTTTGATTCTTTTTTTCTGATTTTTCCTAATGTACTAATATGATTTTATTTATTACATTATTTTGAATTTAATATGTGTTCGTTAATATAAATTTGATGGATGGGAAACCTTTTTCTATTAGGATATGACAAATATGATTTTTTCTTTTTATTCTAATAGATAAATGTTTTTTTTTAATTTTCCAACTAAACTATTTAATATTAGAAGATCGGTCCATTATAAAATTTTCTTTTTAATATTTTAGTTCCTTGATAATTATTTTCTCGGTTCTCTATTTATATTGTTTCTTTTTTAATTTTATTTTTGCCTCTAACCATTACAAATTTTCATTTTCATTATTAGTTAGTTGTTTTACAATTATTTTATTAGTTTATTTATTTATGTTACTCCATTTTTTCAATTTTCTTTTGTTGACACATTTCATCACCTGATTAAATATTGGATATGATTTTTGATTTCTTAATGAGAAAGAAAATATTTTAAATATAGCTTGTTATATATTGGTTTTTATTTTCCTTTTCTTAATGGGAATATGTTTTTTATACCTTTTCTTACTGGATGTAATATTTTTTAATTATTTTATATATGATTTTTCAATTTTTATTTTATTTTTCGTAATAGAATTATATTTTTTCTATACTATTCCTAATGGATGTTATATTTTTTCTATACTATTCTGATTTTTGCTAATGTACCAATATGATTTTATTTATTACATTATTTTGAATTTAATTTATGGAAAACCTTTTTCTATTAGGATATGAGAAATATGATTTTTTCTTTTTATTCTAATAGATATATATAATAAAAAATTCTTTTTTCTAACATTTTTTTTTAATTTTTTTTCTTTTTTTTTTCGAAGACACGTGTCACGATCTTAACGGACTTAACATTAAAAGTGACATATGTCGCAATCCTATATTTTATAAAAATCCTACGTGTCGTAACCACATTATGTGCATCCAACTTTATATAATAAGATGTTAAGATATAATATTACACACAAAAATAAATCTATATATTAAAATATTATTGCTTTAAATTGTGGTGAAAGCAAAATATCTTTGTGTAATAACGTGGTCAAAGTCATAGTATAATATTGATTGCTGCGTTAGTGAGTGATTTTCTACATTATGGTGTGATACGATTTGGTCAAATTCGAAGACCATGCAATTATTCCATTTGATCTCATTATTTTCTATATAAAGGTTGTTGAACTTAATAGAAATTCATTCATTCAATATACAAAACAGTCACCACAAGTTTAGTCTCTTTTATTATTCTTTTATTTTTCTAAGTATGAGAGTACACACAAAATTAGGTTGGATAGGCTTCTGAATGAGTGTTGCAAATCAGAAGATTGTTGCAGTTGTACTTTGGAACTCTAATCACTATAGAACCGGCATACTACGGGGTGATTTTTGAGTTAAGGAAAAAAATAGTATCTTCCCTCTGCAAATCCATTACTAAATTCTTGTTTTTTGGTAAAATATTATTGTAGTTTATTTCTGTAACTCTTTACAATTTTCAGTTTACTCTAGTGTCTAAATTGTGGTTTTAACAGTCTCGGGGACATCTGATAAAAAATTGTTAGAACCACAATTCAGACACTACAATAAACTGAAAATTGTAAAGAATTACAGAAATTAAATACAATAATATTTACAATAAAATACAAGAATTTGGTGATGGATTTGCAAATGCAATATATTATCTTTTCTCTTAACTTAAAATTCACCACGTAGTGTGCCGGTTCTATGGTGATTAGAGTCTTAAGATACAACTGCAACAATTTTCTTATTTGCAACACTCAATTAGAAACCTATTGAACCTAATTTTGTGTGTACTCTTAGACTGAAGAAAAAAGAAAAAAAGTAAAAGAGACTAAACTTGTTGTAATTGTTTTCTATGTTGAATGAATGAATTTCTATTAAGCTCAAGAGTCTTTATATATAAAATAATGAGTTCAAATGGAATAATTGCATGGTCTTCGAATTTGACCAAATCGTATCACACTATAATTATAATGGAGAATATCACTCACTAACGCAACAATCAATATTAAGTCATAATATGACTTTGGCCATGTTATTACACAAAGATATTTTGCTTTGACCGCATTTTAAAGGCAATAATATTTTAATATATGGAGTTCTTTTTTTTTGTAATATTATACCTTAATACAAAAGATAAACTTTATTTGGTCCATAATAATAAGTTAACAAACTTGATATCCAATTAACAATTATAAACCCAATTCAAATCCAAGTATCTAATATGGGTTATTTGCTAACTTTTACACTTAGTTAAATATATCAATCTTTATAAGCTTTTATAAACACCCATTTATAAACTTCATTTCTCATTCATATCAATTCTGATTTTGACATATGAATACACTATTTCATAGTGTTTATAGCGACGATTATTTCGTGGCCAACATATGGTTTTTCCGACAAACGTCTTCACCGGAAAACCAACCGGAAAATGATCTTAAACCATTTTGTCAAAGAGTTCTAACAAGTGCAGGATATGCTGATGCTGAAGGAAGAACTATAAGAAAAAATCATATTCCTCTTGAAATCGTTGGTGATGAAAAGGATTGAATAAAGCGTTGACTTTTTTTTCTTTCTCTCTTCACTTTGCAGAGTTCCATAAACATTTTTTTCATCCGATTTAAATCAATCGAGCAAGTTTTCAACAACAAATTTCCAAAATTTAGATCCCTCAGATCAAATGTTCATCAGTATACGAGCACATGCACAACAATCTCTTGCTATATATAGATGAATCTTCTCGGAATCGATTTTTTTTTTCTTTTTCACATTTATAGTCTGATAAATTAATTATCTTCTTGGTTTGTTTTTAATTTCACTTGTGAAAAAGCATAGAAAAACTGATCCAACGCTAACAAGCGATTAGGTTAGGTCGTGGAACAACAAATGATGCAAAATCGTATATCAACATGCATGCAAGACTCAGTAGAGTTTAATACACATACGTTTACCGTATTCACTCATTTACATTATATTTCTGTGTTTTGGTCGTGGGACAACTCTACACACTAATAGCATATATTGGTTGAAGGGAGTTAGTACTTTTCTGTTTAAAGTACAACTGTCAGTTTTTGCACATTATGCTAGTTTGTTTTTTAAGAGTTTTTTGCTTCAACCAATATATGCTACAAATCTACAATTGTATATACTCTACACACTAATAGCATATATTGGTTGAAGGGAGTTAGTACTCTGAAAGGAATCAAATTACGAGTCTTTGACCATTATGGTAGCTGGGAGCCTTTTGAGTATACGATAGGATATATAGAAGATCTCTCCAACAGATAGTTAGGGTTCTTAATTGTAAATCCTACTTCATTGATAAGCAATTCAGTTTCCATACTGTAATCTAATCAAGAAGCCAACCCAAGCTCAATGATCATTTCGAGTTTTGCGTCTCTACAAGAAATTTTGTTTTTTTGTCAACTGGCATATGTTCCTAGAAAGGTTCGGAAACCAACTCGGTGGTACAAAGTTTACAAAATACAAATCATAAAGAAAATCTTTAGCATCATGTGTTAACCTTTCTACTTCCTGTGTTTAGTCCTTGAAATATGTGTCATGGAGAACAAAAAGAACATCTTCCTAGTTCCTACACTTCTCAATTTCATCACATTGAGTAATGCCACTACTCCTCAGATTTTAGATACCATCTTTACGAGATCAGAACAATCTGTTTTGAAAGTTATCGTTCTCTACACAAGAACACAAGAACATATTACTAGAAAATCGTTCACTTGAAACGATTTCCAATCCAAAACTAACATAAATATCAAGTTTAAAGATCCATCAAAATTTGGATATATATAGTGTTTTTCATTAAATAAAAAGAAACAAAAATTTGGATCTTCTCACGCGGATGAATTATGTACTACCACGTGGTCATAAATCGTATGTGGCTTTTTTGTAGGTACAATGGCCAAACTACGTATTAGGCTCACGATCCAAGCCTTAATGCTCTAGTTCCCAACCTTAGGCCCTACGCGCCTAGCAGATTTGGCTTGAAGATCACCTAATTTTGAGAAATTGACAACAACAGTGAGGACACACTGCTAGTGACCCTGGTCCCGGGATAGAGTGACCACGAGGAGGAGAGGTCGTCTAACATGTTCTTTGATCCCGAGAGAGCACAAAATACCTCAAAGAGTATAGTTTGTGATTGTGACAAAAAAAAAAGTATAGTTTGTGATTGGAAAAAACTTAAACTTTGTGTTGCTAAAACAAGATATAAAACTTTCTATAGGACTGTATTAATCTGAACTATAACATTTGATTAGAATAACATATTTAAAAATTAACTATTATACAACACTAGATTATGGTTAAAACTAAAAACACCTCCTAAAGAACACCAACGGAACAGACAATTCGTTTTTCTTCTCTTGTAGTCGTGATGCTCTATTTATGTCGGTATGCTTTCTTCACACGAATTGAATTAAGTCTTGAAATATTTTGATTTATTTTAATTACAAATATTATCCAATCTTGGAGGAGCCTGTGTTCTCAACTTCTTATAGGTCCACATATGAAGCATGATGATGCAATGCAAGTAACGTGTTAGACAATTTTTTCACTCTTTTGTTCCTTCTTGTCCTAAACAAACACAATTCCACACGGTTTCCATGTAGACGTTGTGCATCGTGACTCGTGAGTTAATTAAAAATACAATTGTCGTTTTTATCAAGATTTGTTGCATATTAAATAGCAAATTATAACTTCTTCTTTTATCCCCTTTTTTTTTGTCAGCAAATCGTACCATTTAGTTACAAAAAGTGTTACGTTACTTGAAGTTAAAGAGAAAGGTTTAATACCAGAATATTTGTTGAAAACTTTGTTGATAAGTGTTACTTAAAAAGGATTAGTGGGGCCTATTTCAGTCTGTGCAATTATTCTGGAGATATTATTTTTTTTAAATATATATTCAGCGTTTGAACAAAGCTCTCTTCTTACACAACTCTCTTCACCACTAACTTTGTGTTGAATTAGTCCCAAATTTTTAAAAATCACTTTACGAAATATTTTGTTTTATCTATCTTCATCGTCTCTGCGACAACAATTCTACAGATTTCAATTTTTTATTATTTGATTTTTGGCTTCTCTCGATCCAATCAACTTGGTCGATTCAATCTCTCATCCGTCTCCTGCTTCGAATCTAGAGTAATTGAATTCGGTACTCTCCGTTATTCCGTATAGATATTGTTGATTCGTTATTATTTGTCTCTTAGGAATGATCGCAAATTCGCAATGCAGAATTCTTCTGATTGTGTTTAATGCGTAACCATGAACTATGCTTTTTTACCTTTTTTTTTTCACTATTGGAGTAGAAGAAATTTAGTCTATGCACGAAATTCACAGTTTCAGGTTTTATGGATTGCCTTTATCTCCTCACTGGAAATCAAAATTTCTCTTCAAGTGAAAATTCTGTCGGAATAGAGGAGATGAAGAAGTAGTTAGGATTGTTCACTTGTACAAGAAACCAGAAGAATGTGTTGAATTGTTATTTGTTTTTATCTGTTTCAGGAACCATGTCTGAGGAAGAGTTCATGGATAGTGGTGAAGATACTTTCAATTCTTCTTCTGCTACTAAAGTAAGCTCTTTTAAGATTTTATGTTGCTCATATGTTTTCTTGACCAAGAATCGTTGTAAAAAGTGCATATGCCCTGTTACTATTATTCAGGTCTTTTAAAATTTCATATTGATGTATTATTTGTTTGCATGCTTATCAAAACCAGGTTGATCCGGCAGTACCTGCATCTTTAACATGGCAAAGAAAGATAGACAGTGACGGAAAAGCTCCCCGGGAATTCGGTCTCACTGCTAAAGAGATTTTCCAGCTGGTAACTATGGAGATAGAACGTTTTCAGATATTATTTGGATGACAAGAACTTCTCTATGTTACTCAAAGACTTGTTTTTCTTTTGTCCATGTAGGCCCCTGTTGGTATTCGATTATTTTTTCTTGTTAGAGAAGAATCTGCTAAAGGAAGGGTAAACAAATGTTTCCTTGTTCTTGATAAATCCTCTCTTATTTTGTTGCATAGCCATATTGAAAAGAATGTATTAATTGCAGTTGGCTTTCATAGATCCATTCTCCAAACACTCTATAACATCTTCACATGGTGTTCCTCTTGGAGGTATTGGGTATGTTTTCCCTTTTAATCACATATTGGTATGTCACAATTGTTACATGCTGTCAAGTTACTGGTTATATAACTTTGATTACATGCAGTGGTGGTAGCATAGGAAGGAGTTATAAAGGTGAGTTCCAAAGATGGCAACTATTCCCTCCAAAATGTGAATATGAACCAGTTCTTGCAAATCAGTTCTCTGTAAGTTGCAAATAACAAGACTTTTCAAGAGAAAACTGGTAAAAGATAGTGTTTGATTTGCTAAATGGTGTTGAATATGTTTTGATGCAGGCATTTGTTTCACGTCCCAATGGGAAAAAGTTCTCGAGTGTGTTATCTCCTAGGCACACAAACCTGGGAAAGTAAGTAAAGCTTCTTCAATAACTTCGCTGCTGCTTGTTATCTTACAGTGATTAAAGTTTATATTTTTCGAAACAGACAAGATTCTGAGACTGGAATTGGTTCATGGGACTGGAATCTGAAAGGAGACAAGTCTACATATCATGCTTTATATCCAAGGTCTTGGACAATGTATGAGGGTAATATGCTTATGTGTATATATAGTTTCACACTTGTAAATATCGCTGCTTATGTGATTTTGAGGCTGAAAGTTGATGGTGTATATAGGTGAACCTGATCCAGAGCTAAGAATTGTATGTCGTCAAGTTTCACCTTTTATACCTCACAACTACAAAGAAAGCAGCTTTCCTGTTTCTGTTTTCACTTTCACAGTATGTAAAGTTTCCTTTTTTCCTTCTGTTTGCATTTTGATAATGTAGAGCTTACTATGGTACTGATGAATTTGGTCATGTATTCATCAGCTGCATAATGTCGGAGACACTACTGCAAATGCGACATTGCTCTTCACTTGGGCGGTGAGATACTTGTTTCAATGCAGTCGTCTTTTGTTTGACAGTTTCTTTCAACACATTCATGATAATGTTTGTTCATTTTGGTTCAGAATTCTGTTGGAGGAGACTCAGAGTTCTCAGGTGGCCATTACAACTCCAAGATAATGTAAAAGTTTAATAACTTCAAACTCTGTACTCATAATAAGACTTGGTCTTCTTTTGTACTAACTTGATCTTGATGAAATCATTATAGGATGAATGATGGAGTCAAGGGTGTGCTCTTACACCATAAGTAAGTAAGCTCTTCCCTATTCTTTGCATTAATCAAGAAACTAAAATCTGTTTTTGGTGGTTTAAGTATCAACTTTGTTGCTATAACTTCTCTTATACAGAACAGCAAACGGGTTACCATCACTGTCTTACGCGGTTTCAGCTCAAGCCACGGACGGTGTTAGCGTCTCAATCTGCCCTTTTTTCATAGTTTCTGGAAAGCAGAATGGAATCACAGCAAAAGATATGTGGGAGACTATCAAAGAGGTTGAGATATTCTCCTTCTTGCATACAATTGTATAGTTCTTGAATGTGATATTTGATATCCTTCATTTCTTTGTTACAGAACGGTTCTTTTGATCAGCTCGATGCTTCTGAGACATCGATGCAATCAGAACACGGGTCATCGATCGGGGCAGCAGTAGCAGCATCTGCAACAGTCCCACCGGGAGAGTCACGGACTGTCACATTTTCTCTGGCTTGGGACTGTCCTGAAGTGCAGTTTCCTAGTGGTAAAATATATTTAAGGTAAGATTTTTCTAAAGTAATAATTGAAATGGTAATGTTGTAAATTGTAAAGTAATAATTTCTAAACAGGAACTCTTATGCAGGCGTTACACAAAGTTTTATGGCACTCATGGTGATGCTGCTGCTCAAATTGCTTATGATGCTATTCTTGGTGAAGTCCTAATTCATCCTAAACATGTATATTTTTATTTGATTCACTTCAGAATGAAGCTTAAATGACACTCTTATATGGAACAGGACATAATCATTGGGAGTCTTTGATAGAAGCATGGCAAAGACCAATCCTTGAAGACAAAAGACTTCCTGCATGGTGAGGCCTTTGTTCTGCTTCTTATACATCAATGGCCATAAACTTATCATAGATCTGAATATATGATTGCTGTTTGTAGGTATCCTATCACTCTGTTCAACGAGCTTTATTACCTTAATTCAGGAGGAACTCTTTGGACAGGTAAATTTCGGACAGTTTAAGATGATTCTGTTTTCTTTCAGCATGACATCTTTGTCCATCTTTTTACTCTGCAGATGGATCATCACCACTACATAGTTTGGCAGGAGTTAGAGAAAAGAAGTTCTCACTTGACAAATCCCAGCTCGGTTTAAAGAACATCATCGATGAACCGGAACAGAACGATACAGCTATCTCCGTTCTCGGAAAAATGGCTTCTACGCTTGAGCAGCTTCATGCATCAACAGCATCAAACTCTGCCTTTGGCACAAAGCTACTAGAAGAAGGAGAAGAGAACATTGGGCATTTCCTTTACTTAGAAGGGATCGAATACCGTATGTGGAACACCTACGATGTCCATTTCTACGCTTCTTTCGCGCTTGTGATGCTGTTTCCAAAGCTCGAGCTCAGTATCCAAAGAGACTTTTCTGCTGCGGTGATGCTACACGATCCAACCAAAGTGAAAACACTTAGTGAAGGACAATGGGTTCAGAGGAAAGTTCTTGGTGCAGTTCCTCATGATTTAGGCATCAACGACCCTTGGTTTGAAGTTAATGGATACAATCTTCACAACACTGATCGTTGGAAAGATTTAAACCCTAAGTTCGTCCTCCAGGTGTACAGAGATGTAGTAGCTACAGGGGACAAGAAGTTTGCTATAGCGGTCTGGCCCTCGGTGTACGTTGCAATGGCCTACATGACTCAGTTTGATAAAGATGGCGATGGAATGATCGAGAACGAAGCGTTTCCGGATCAGACTTACGACACATGGTCTGCCACTGGTGTAAGCGCCTACTGTGGTGGACTTTGGGTGGCTGCATTGCAAGCTGCATCTGCCTTGGCACGTGTAGTTGGTGACAAGAACTCTCAAGACTATTTCTGGTTGAAGTTTCAGAGAGCAAAAGATGTGTATGAGAAGAAGCTATGGAATGGATCTTACTTTAACTATGATGATAGTGGAAGCCGGTATAGCTCGTCTATACAAGCTGATCAACTAGCTGGTCAATGGTTCGTTACCCTCTCTTTTCTCTAAGAAGAATGTGTTAAGGATTTAGGGTAATGATGATATATACAATTTGTAGGTACGCGAGAGCATCAGGGCTTTTGCCTATAGTAGATGAAGAGAAGGCTAAAACGGCTTTGGAGAAAGTTTATAACTTCAATGTGATGAAGATTAAAGAAGGGAAACGTGGAGCTGTAAATGGCATGCATCCTGATGGGAGAGTTGATACAGCATCAATGCAGTCACGAGAGATTTGGTCTGGTGTTACGTATGCGTTGTCTGCAACAATGATCCAAGAAGGCTTAGTTGATATGGCGTTTCAGACAGCGAGTGGCGTCTACGAAGCTGCCTGGTCTCAGACCGGACTCGGGTAAGGTTTATGTGATATAGCTCTCTCTCTCAATCTATGATTCTCCATGTGTTCTGATACTGTTTGAATGCGTTGAAACAGTTACTCATTTCAGACGCCTGAAGCATGGAACACGAATGATCAGTATAGATCTCTGACTTACATGCGTCCTCTTGCTATATGGGCTATGCAATGGGCACTGACTAAAACCAGTCAAAAACAGAAACAACTTGGTCTTGAGCAAGAACAAGAACAAGAACAAGAACCAGAGCCTAGTGCTTTGATGAAACATGATATTGGTTTCTCTCGGGTTTCTAGGCTTCTGAAACTACCGAATGAAACAGCGCCTAAAGGCAGACTCCAGACCTTGTTCGACTATGCTTGCCGGAGATTGATGTCATAGATTCATTTTGCAAGTAATTATGCAATCACTGTGATTACATAATACATACATTCTTTCCGTACATCACACGGCATTGTTTATTACATTTGCTTACTGTATTGTGAAAAGTTTGTTAACAATGACAAGAAATGCATTCCACAACGTGAAACATGTTGTGTCTTCTTCTTCGACTTTTTCGACTTTATAGCATTTAAGCTCTTCCATGAACCTGCTCAAATCATTATAAGAAGACCCTCCTTCCTCCACAGCGGCTTTAGCCATCTCGCCTAGTTTCTTAGCCCGTTCCCGCCTTTCCTCTGCCTCTTCCCCATCAATCACTTCTCTCACTGCCTTCGCCACTTCCTCTCTACTTATCAACTTTCCTTTTTTCACCAACTCCGTAGCTCCTACATTCACTCCTATCCTCAACACTTGTGTCAATAGCTTCTCGTTGTAGAACTGTTCCGCGCCCCTCGGCCAAGTCACCATCGGTAGCCCCATAGATATGCCCTCCAAAGCCGAGTTCCATCCGCAATGCGTCACAAATCCTCCAACGGCTTTGTGCTCTAGTATCAGCATTTGTGGTGCCCATCCGCGTATTATCAGCCCTTCCCCTTTCGTTCTCTCTTCATACCCTTCAGGCAACCAGTCTTCCTTTTCCCCTGTCCCAACAACCACACCAAAACCAAGTTCATTTCAATTTACCGAGGCCGGAACCACATCATGTAATATTAGTTCTGTCACAAGTGTCTTATAAAGGAAAAATACAAAGACGAGTAAAAATGAACTCATTACCTTGCTTTTCATTTTTCTTAACAACCCAAATGAAGTTTTGTTGAGAGCCTTCAAGGCCGGCAGCAATTTCAAGCATCTGTTCATTGGTAAATTTAGCTCCACTGCCAAACGACACGTAAATCACTGAACCGGGTGTCTTAGACTCGAGCCATTTGAGGCATTCCTGCTCATCAATGACCCCTTTTTTACCTCTTTGGGCTTTCTCCGCAAACTCTCTGTTGAACAGCGAAAGCGGACCGATATGCCAAGCTCTTTTCGCCCCAACACTACGGTAAAAATCAGCATAAGCCGGTTCCAGCTCGTAGAAGCTATTCACAAGAACACCAAAGCTATTTGACTCTGACTCGCTAACCGCTTTCATAATCATTCCCATTGGAGTATCTTCAGGGGGGACATTGGCTTGCTCTGGTGTCATAACTATGTCCCCCGGGAGGCCAGTGATTACGAAAGGAGTAGAGTTCGTAGTGACTTTCTTGTGTGGCTCATGAGTCCTCATGGTATTGAAACAACACAAGGAAAAGAAAGATGTTCCGTGGAACACAAGTCTCGGGACACCAAACTTTTGTGCGGATTCGGTCGCCCAAGTGAAGAACATATCGGCCACAAGACAAGTAGGTTTGGTTGTTTCAATGAAACTCTCCAGTTGCTGGTTCATATAAATTGTAGACAAGAAAAGCTTTAACAACAAGTCACCTGCGTCAGGTTTTCGGTACGAGATAATGAAGTCAACGTGGTCGCACCCTTCAGGCAATCCCAGCTCCACACAAGGGAAATCGAAGACCTTGATTCCGATTTCAAGATCAGGGTTCTGATTCTTGATTTCTTCAATGCGTTTGTGCAAGAACTCTTGGTTGCTTCTTGTCGTGAGAAGAGTTGACTTGGCTCCTCTGCTTGAGAAAAGCTTGGCCATGTCTATAACTGGAATCATGTGACCGTGAGCCATGAAGGGGAAGAAGAGAACATGAATCTGCTCAGAGACTTCGTTCTTCATGTTTGGTTGCACAAATTAACGAAATCTTGGTTTTACAGAGACAAAATGAAGAAAAATGTAAAATGTTTCAGATCTAATCCCTTCCTTTGCACATAGAGCCACCCATGATACTTAGCTCTACTTTAAAACATGTTGTAATTAATTTATAATATAAAATGATGTTTACCAAAATGAAGGGATTAGATCTGAAACACATATACAGACTAACATAAAATCAGTATTAAAAAACACCCTACTTAACGCGGAAGTTACTGTGCTTTACTCAGAAACAAAAACAAATAATGTTCAGAATTATGTTTTTTTGTATTGGTTCTATGGGTAAATTGAATTCAGATTTCGGTTCGGTTTTTGCTCATTCGTTTTTTCGTTTGTAAAAAACGGCTTGCATATACACTTACACAATTAGTCGTTTGTCAAATATAGGCATGACCCGACCCGGAACTGACGTCTGAAGGACCCGACCCGGAACTGACCCGAAAAAATGGTTCCGGTTAGTATCGGTTTAGGTCTAAATCACATGCTGGTTATTTTTCTTCCATACCCACGATTATCGGGTCGGTTCCGGTTATTATCCGTTTATCTATGGGTACGCATTTAGATTGTTTGTCCGAAAGCTTATGAAACCATTGTATTGTATGAAGAATAGAAGAGTTGGTGTTTTTCTCTTTTGTTTTTGTCTCTTTAGTGTTTTAAACTTTGATGCCTTGTGTCTTTAAACCTTGAAAGCTATAATGTGTCTCTTTGTTCTCTTTTTTTGTTTCTCTCTTTGATGTTTTCTTTCATGTACGACTGATTATATACGAGTAGTGTATCAAACTTGTGTTCATGTGTTGTGAGGTTCTGTTTTTCGGGTAAAATAAGGTAAGACAGGTAGAAACGGGTAAAATACCCTAAATATACCCATCCGATTGATATCCGAAATTATTTGGATATTTCACAGTTATTAACAAACGAATTGGCCCATAGTTTGGAATTGGTCCATCTGACCCGAGATCTGCCTACAAGTTATTCTTCCAAAAAATACCCCATCCACAAGACCTCATCCACAAGTCCCCACTATATAGTTTATGCAAATGAAAAATTTAGTGATCACAAATAGCTTGTCCATAGGAGATGGTCCATTTGGATGTAACGATTTTTGCTCGCTTTATTCTGTTACATTTTTAGTTGTCCATTGCACTTAATTAGTCAATCCGAGGGTGTACTTTTGGATGGGTCTATTTTCATTATGACTGTTATATATCTCGTCAAATGATTTTGAAAGTATGTTTCGACCAATAAATTGAGGTTTCCTTTGTAGATCATCGACAAATAATTTTCAAATGTTTTCTTAGTAGCTCATCAACTAGGGTTTTCTCGGTAACTATGAGAAATTCCGTCATCTAAAGTTTAAAGTTTAAACCCAAACAAAAAGATGACTTATCAAGAAAAATAAGTCTTTTTTTTTGTTAAAAGTTCCAAGAAAAATAAGACTTCACCGGCATAAAGTATCGAAAAATACACTATGCAAATCCAAATAATTCCGACAAATGAAACATATTTTTCACCTCACTTTCATTAAGCGCAAAAATATCTTCTACAACGGAACAATGAGAGACAAAGAGTCCTGCAAACTCTTTACCTCAGCACATATCAAACCAATTCCGGCCAACAATAAAAGTCCATCATAATAAGTAAATGTGAAGTTTTCTGGTGAAGAAAATATGTTCATAGCCGGTGACTTTACATCTTAAGACGTTGGCCAAAAAGAAACCACTCCTCCTTTCATTAAGGGTGAAATGGAAATATCATCTCACAACAGTCCAAGAAAAGTCTATTTCTGATGGAAAATCCCTCTTTGTGATATGTAACTATGTAAGTCCTAAAAGTCACCTAAAATGTAATTCACTAGTAGATAATAGAGCTGCGTGCATGTGTCCCTTTCACAATAAAATATTTGGTCAACCAATTAATTGTATTGTATCTAATAATAGAGCTGATAATTATTAGAATATGGCAGAGTGACGACTTACAATCACTTGGAGGAGGACAGCTGTGACAGTTGAGCCTTAAGTACATCTTCATTTCGATATCATCCATTTATTTGATATGGGCTTTGAGCAGCTGTGACAGTTGAGCCTTAAGTATCATCTACATTTCGATGTCATCAATTTCTTTGATTTGGGCTTTGAATAAAGTGGCAGAAAATGCAGTCCAAAATAAATATAGATCTATATGCATTTAATTGTCAATCACCAATTTTATTACAAAATCTTATATGGTGATCTACGCTTCGCGCGAGAATTTATATTATTATTTAATTTTTTTCTGCAATATTACACATATTAACTAAATATAATTAGGGTTACGCAAAATTAACGTACCGTCATCTTGTCCCATTGTATCCCATTTCGTTCATTTTTATCATATCCGTTCTTTCCCGTCCCATCCGTCCTGTCCCATCCCGTCTCATCCTATCCCATTATGTTTCTTTCCATTTTGTTATGTCCCATTATATTCCTTCCGTTTCTTCTCGTCTTGTTCCCTAAATATAACTAAGGATAGGCAAAATTCCCGTATAGTCCCATCCTGTCCCATTTCATTCATTTCATTCATTCTCATCTTTTCCCGTTCTGTCCCCGTCCCATTCCGTCCTGTCCGCCCTATCGAGTCCCATCCATCCTGTTATGTGTTTTTTTTTCGTTTCTCGTGTCTCTGTTCTGTCCCTAAATATAATTAGGGTAAGTGAAATTTATCTCCCGTCCCTTTATGTCTCTTTCATCCCGTCCCGCCCAATCCCGTCTCATTCGTTTTTTTCATCTCGTCATGTCTAATTTGTATGTCTCATCCCGTCCAGTCTTATCCCTTTTCGTTATGTTTCTTTCCGTCTTGTTCTGTCTCATCATGTTTCTTTCATTTTTTTCTATTTCGTCTTTAAATATAATTTGAAGTAGGAAAAATTATGTGGTATCTCATTCCTTTCCATTCCTTTACATCTCATCTCGTCATTTAATATAATAAGAAGTGGACAAAATTCATTTCTGCTCTCGTTATGTTTTTTTTCATCTCATCTTGTCTGGTCTCGTCTCATTTCATCCCAAAATACTTAAACAAATTAGTGTTCTTTATATAATATCTTGACATCAACGTAAATTATATAATCTAACAAAAATAAATTTATTAAATAATAGTTTTTATAGATCTATACATAATCTTTCTCATTTTTTTAAAATGACTTTTCATATTCTTGTTAAATTTATTATAGTAATGAATGCTAATTATTATGAAATTAAAATATTAAAAAAGAAAATATAATAAATTAAATAAAGTGCTGACGTGGCGAAATTGAGAATTTAGAAGCACCCTCTAAAAGTGACTTGGCATCACCAGAATAGAATCACATCAACTTTATATATATAGATCTTATATATAATAGGAGAGTTTTCTCTCCATCTAGCCTATCCACATCAGCAAAAGATTTTTATTAAATTGTATTTAAGATATTTAATACATGAATATTCATATTTCTTTACATATAATCCAAAGAAATACAAAAAATAAATTAAGAAAAATAGGGCTGTTCAATTTGGTAAAACCGAACCGAACCGATCCGAACCGAATAAAAATAGGTCATGTGGTTTGGATTTGGATACACCGTATAAACCGTATGGATGCTATTTTATATAAACCGTGGATATTGATATGGTTTGGATATTAACCGAACGAACCGCAAAAACCGAAAAAACCGAATAATTCTATATATTAATATAATAGTATATAGTATATAATAATATAAGTTTAGAGAAATCTGATATAGAATTATATATCTTTAATTTACCAAACTTTAACAATTAACAAACCCTAAATACTGAAACATAAATCTTTAGAGTTTTATACTTTAAAATAAGACATGAATTTGCATTTTCTTATTTGAATTTGATCATTCGATTACCAGAAACAAAATAAAATATCTACATAATAAATAATTATCAAACAAAAAGTACAAATAACCCAAACAAGTTCAACTGAAATAATGCAAAACAGTAAAATCCTATCATCCCCCTCTTCAGCCTCGATTCCACGATCACATAAACCTTTTACATGCAACACATTGGAATGGTTTTGCAAGAAATACTTATTGAGGCAATCACCCTGCCTACGGGTCAATTACGCAATTTACTAGACATTTAAATAATTATTATAAACTCCAGTAATTATTAAATTCTATTTTCCAATTATTAAATAATTCTCAATAATTAAATAATAATTTTCTATAATTAATATAATTATTTTAAACCATTTAGTTAATTATTAGCTACATTTAAATAATTATTATAAACTCCAGTAATTATTAAATTCCATTTTCCAATTATTAAATAATTCTCAATAATTAAATAATAATTTTCTATAATTAATATAATTATTTTTAACCATTTAATTAATTATTAGTTAATAATTAATTAAATACCGAATTACACCAAATCAATTTGTCTTAACCATTATAATTCATTTTTAACTAGACATAAATTCAATTAAACCATTAAATCAATTTTAACCGGAATTAACCGGTCTGTGTCACTGGACACTAGATTGGTGTCGCTCGACACAAGTCTTCTGGTGTCGACCGACACACGATTTGTGTCGCTTGGCACCGATTCCAGAAAAGCACAGATCGATCTACGAAACATCACAAAACTCCCAATAAACAACGAATCCTCAACAAACTCAACCACATAACACCAAATAAGCCACAAACAAGCATGAACACACAAGAACATCAACCACAAAACTGAATCTAGCAACTTAGCGAACCCACAGTCATGCACTCACCTCAAACGGATTGAAAACGGAGGAAGGAGATGAAAGGAACGAAGAACAGCAAGGATTTGCCTCTGAATCGCTCAAGAACACCACAATCGCACCAAATCGCCTCCCTTCTTCTTCCTCAACTCGCAAAACGACAAAACTGACCAAGAGTTTGACGGCTGCACGTTTTTATTTGAGTTCTAGGGCTTTTCCCAACTAAACCGGCCCAAACCAAACTTAAATCGAACCGACTGCGATTTTCAATAACCGGTGTCGACCGACACACATCACTTGTGTCGCTCGACACCAACATCTCAACAAGAGACATTGGTCTACGGATGATACACTCTTAATTTATATACGTGCATGTCACACAGATAGTACATATATGTTGACCCTAGCATTAGTTTATAACAATATTATAGTACATATGCATACGATATATTCAACATTTGCATATATTTAGTATCATGTTCTGCATATTTTTGTATATATTTGAGTCTCATTTCATACCATTTAGTGTAAGTTTCATCTCTTTTGGAACATTTAGCATTATACATAGCATTTTGCATTTGCATAGCATTTGGAGTGCATTTATCAGGTTATCGGAGGTGGAGGCAAAGGAGATGAACAGAGGTGGTGGTCGGAGACAAGCCGGAAGTTGATCGGAGTTCAAAAGGGCGTTTGATGGAACTTGCAGAATAGAGAACTTGAGCAAGCATAACAAAGGACTTGAGGAGTTTGATCAAGACCCATAGACTGGCAAAATCAAAACAAAACGTTGATCAAGACTCCTCCTTCCTTCTTACTATATAAACCTTAAACACCTATTTAGGCATGCTTTATCTTGTAATCGGTTTCTCTCCAAGAAAAATTCTTTGTTCTTGGAGAATTTTTGTAAGACTTTTGTTCAATCTTTAAATTTAAGAAGTAATTTTAAGTTTGTTAATCTTTTTTTAAGCATGATTTCAATATTTCTCTTTTTCTTTTCTTGCAATTTTAACATGAGTAGTGAGTAGTTTCCTTTGAGGATTCAAGGGTGAATTAGGGAAATACTTCACCTTTAACACTTGTAGGATTCCTTAGCTTCCTTGGTTTACTTGCTAGCCTAGAGGTCTTAATCTCTTAGCTCTTTTTTAATCAGTTAGAGCTAAGACTCAAGGCATTTCTCACTCACAAAGTGTTTGTGGAAACTCCTCAACCAACTAGAGCTAGGGTCTAGTGTTCCCAACCTAAGAGATTGGTTGTTGGGATGCTGTTCATGTGATTTAGGACTTATTCTTCAAGATGCCTATGGTTTTTCTCCCACTAGTAAGAGCTAGCTCTTGGGTTTGACTCGATAAAGTGACGAGACCATGAGAGTGGCTAGTTTAGTTTGTGTCCTAGCATAAAGTCCAAACCCTTCTTGCTTTTAGTTTGAATCTCTTGTGTATTGATGTCTTGGCCGAAGATACTCACCCAAGGGTCCTCTTTTTATCATTATCTGTTTGTACCTGTTTAAAGCGAGGCTGTATTTTTTTATTCAGAAATTTGATGTAGATCACATGCTCTTGAATTATATATTTGGTCTATCATTTTGAGATACAATTATAAGCAAAGAAAAATATATAAAAAAAAAACAGAGTAAAAATACTTGTTGAAGGAAGATGAGTTCAAGAATTGGAACCTATATGCTGCTGATCTTCCTTTTCTTCCAAGTTTGTTATGTTTCTGCACTCACAAATGGTCTGGATGGTAAGTATAATAATCAAAGACTCAAGGTTTTTTCAAATAAGAATTTCAGATCATTGAACTAGATTTCAAAATTGGTGCAGCTTCTGCTTTACAAGCCCTGAAGGCTGAATGGACCAGGTTTCCTGAGAGTTGGGAAGGCTCAGATCCTTGTGGGACCAAATGGGTTGGAATTACATGTAGCAAAGACCGCGTCGTTTCCATGTAACAACTTGTTTCTTTTTCTTTTGCTGCTTATCCGATAATCATCTAGAGACTCTAACGTTGTGTTGTTGATTGTTGCAGATCACTAGGTCATCTTAACTTGGAGGGAAAGCTTTCTGGAGATATTTCAGCCTTGTCTGAATTGCAGATCTTGTAGGTCTTTCTTCTTTCTTTTTTTACATAGAAATAATGAATTTTGTTATCAAATATATTCCCGTCTTTGTAGGGATTTGTCATATAATATTGGACTATCGGACCTCTTCCACCAAATATAGGGTGACCTTAAGAAGTTGAGGAACTTGTAAGCAAACAAGACAACTTAATATATATACCTTGTCTTATCTCCTATTTTAACAAACATTTTGTACTCTAGGATCCTTGTGGGATGTAGTTTCAGCGGGCAAATCCCCGAGTCCGTTGGATCTTTAGAACAACTTGAATATCTGTAAGATTTTTTGCTTCCTATTACTATAAACAATTTTTTTTTGGCACTCTCAAGCCTCTCTTACCAACTAGTCTTCTTCCATATACAGCTCCTTGAATTCAAATCAATTTAGTGGAACAATCCCAGCTTCCATTGGACGTTATCGAAACTATATTGGTTCGATATAAGTGACAATCAGATCGAAGGAAATATTCCAGTTTCTAATGGGACTTCTTCACCAGGACTTGACATGCTTCATGAAACAAAACATTTGTATAAACAATCCCAAATCTTTCTATTTCTTCTAATTGATATCGAACACTCTAACTCACCTTCGCTTTGTGGCAGTCATTTTGGAAAGAACAAGCTTTCAGGCGATATCCCAGAAAAACTCTTCAGCTCTAACATGACTTTGATCCATGTGTAAGTTTCAGACAAGGCCATGGCTGAGGACCACCAACATTTTTACTTTTTATTGGTCACATATTCTTTTATATACTAGATATTCATAGGTCACAAATATATTTTAAAACCTAAGACTTCAAAAAAAAAAAATACTCCCTTTGTTTCAATATGTAAGCAGTTTTAGCTTTTTCTTTTTGTTTCACAGTATAAACAATTTCATAATTTGATGCAAAAGATATTACTTTAATTAAAAGTATTCCGAAGATAAGAAAAAAAAAGCGTTTGGTTTTGGTAGCAAGAATTATGGCACGATTTCGATTTCTGACAAAAGTACCAATACTTAGTCACCCATGTTTATGATTTGTTGTAATAAAACACTAAAAGTGCAAAAAGATCTTAATATGTGTGCACAAAGCTAATACTGTTTACATATTGAGAGGGAGTACGTATAGTTTACTAAATGATGAGTCTAAGTTTAAAAGAAATTTTTTAAAACTACACATTTTTGTATGTTAATTTTCAAAACTATATTTTCAAAGTATTGATTTTCAAAATTACACTTTTTGGTTGAGTAAAAGAATTCTAACTATCAAACCTTAACCCTAAAATCTAACCTTAAATCCTTAAATTTAAACACGAAACCCTAGTCAAAGATTAGTGAACTCAAACTTATATATTAAAATTAGAAATAGTTTGTTTTTGAAAATATCAAACTAGAGGTGTAATTTAGAAAATTGATACCTCAAAAAATGTATTTCTTAACATCCTCATGTTTAAATGATACTTCCTCCGTTTTTATTTGTCGTTCTATCGATTTACATGCTTATTAATAAAACATATTAATATTTATTACCCTTAAAAATCTAAGTGACTCTTAGTATTTTTCATTAGATCTGAGGTTAAATTAGGGATTTAATTCTAACAGTATTGGAAAATGGAACAACTAAAAAAAAATGTAGTGCTAGAAAGACAACTAAAACGAAACAGAGGGAATATCATAGTTTACTAATTTAACGGAAAAACATGTTTAGATGATATCATCAGCCACATTTTGCTGTTTTACTGCAAAAAAAAATTTGTAAAACCCTCTTTTTTTCTTGACTCTGAACATTATTCGTACATGTGAAAACTGATCAACAGTTAATAAAAATTAAGAGTGTAACGAAATAAACGACTTCATTGTTTATTGGTTTATCAATAGGATATTCGATAACAATCGATTCACGGGAAAATACCAGACAGCCTCAGCCTCGTTAAAACATTGATATTGCTGTAAGCATAAAAAAAATTCAAATTGTTTATATATCCTAACTCCGTTAATCTCATATTTTCTTTCTTTGTTACAGGCGCCTTGATGTGAATAAACTAAGTGGAGACATTCCTTCAGGTCTTAATAATCTCACAAATCTTGAATACCTGTAAGTGATCAACTTGAGTTTTGTTCTGCGTGTCGTAGATGTAAATGAACAGAGGTTAAAGATTTTGTAGTTGAGTCCATTTCAGGCACTTGGCCAACAATAGGTTTACAGGTAGTCTTCCAAATTTAAGCAGCTTGACCAGTCTATACGGTTTGTAAGTTTTCATATTTTTCTTCTTCTGTCATCACTACTCTTCGGAAAATTTTCATCTTTAATTATTTTTAATTAATACCATCATGTGATTGTACTGTAATAGAGATGTCAGCAATAACACTTTTGATATGTCACCCATTCCATCATGGATCTCTTCATTACACATGTTGAAAACATTGTATGATCTCTCTCCATATCTCTACATATATATCATCTCTTACTTACTAATAATAAATGGGCTTCTCCTTCGTAGAAATATGGAAGGGATCCAACTTGTAGGTCCAATACCATTCTTCCTTTTCAGCCATATTCAGTTGCAGATTGTGTGAGTAAAACAAAACATATAACTGTGATTGGATAAAAAAAAAAAAATAAAAAAAAAAAATCGTTACTGATTTTTTATTCTTTTTGTTTTCCTTGCAGCAACCTAAAGTGCAATAGGATAAATGAAACCTTGGACTTTGGTACCATTAATACCAGCCATTTGGAGTTTGTGGATTTACAATACAATAATATAACTGACTATAAACCACCAACTAATAAACGCATCAAAGTGATGTAAGGATGTTGGTCTCACAAATCACAACTACATTCTTGTTCATCAATCAAATACTTATGTACGTTACTATTTTGATAGATTGGCGAATAATCCTGTATGGCGGGAGGTTGGGAACGAGACGAAGCATGTTCAGCAATCCATCACAGATGCTCATCTTTTTTACCGTCCCAAAAAACTGTTCTTGTTGTGACAAGATAAAGAAAGGAGTCCCTTGAGCTGATGTGTGTTATATCCATAATACTTGAATTCTGCAATATTATGTGACGAATAAAATAGTCCATGTGGAACTGCTTGTAGGATAAAAATGTGATAGGAAAATCACATTTTGGTGTACTTTAGGTTATCAGTTTTCGGTTCAGTTCCGGTTTGAGTATGTTTCAGTCGATGCTTTGTAGTTTATATATATGTTGTTTATATATGCAAGGCCGTAATTGAAGAACAATAATCGAAAACAATCCCTAATATATTAAAAGAGAAAACACTTTGAAAATAACCTTTGTGTGATGTGTTATTAACAAAAATGCCATGCTGATGTGTCATCACTAGGAAGCTTCTCATGCTACTTATAAAATAAGGTTTACTTTACTAGAATAATTACAAACAATGCCACTCATATATTATGGTTATAAAATCAAATATGTCTTTATATACTAAATATAAATTAAAAACAATTATACTCTTTCCTTAATTGATAGTCACGGAAATTAGTAAATAAGGAAGGTACTCAATTCAGTTATATCATATTAATTATTTTTAAAATCATTATATTTTTCCTATCATCTTTGTTTAACTTTATTTTAAAAAAAATTTGAATCATCTATATAAAATTAGAATTAAAATCTCCATTTTTGTAAATGCTATGATTTGAATAATTTAAATCAAAATAAATCACTAAAAATGTTAAAATCCCACATCAGATATGTCATTGAGTGATGGTTTAGAATTCTGTTATAAAAAATGTATATTATGTGCAATCATTTGAGTAGAAAGCCTCACTTAGTAGGCATCTAAATGTAAAGGTTTTTCTTCATTCGATTTAACCTGATTTTCATATAAATTGTATAATTAGTTCAAATAAATAATTATTAAATTTGATCATAATTGTAATATATTTTAATTATATAATAAGTTAAATTATTTTAAATATTATATTTGATAAAAAAATTGAATATTATAAGTTTCATTTTGAAAAAAATATAATATTTAACATGATAAAAAATTAAGGTATTACTATATATTCTAATAATAATTCTATCAAGATTTAAAAATAATACAAAATTTAAAGATTTATAATATAATTTGTAATTTTAGTAACTAATCAATAATATAAAACTAAAGAAGTATATATTTTTCTGTATGTATTGAATATTTTAAATAAAATTTTGATGCTTTTACAAATACATATTTTCGTCGGTTAGTTTATTAAAAGTCTAAAACATGAAAAATATCTTAATTTAATATAAAATATATAGGTCAAATTAAATATATTAGCTGCACTAACAACTATAAAACTCTAAATGCATACATTCACATAAAACAAAAATAAAATCTTATAATTAGTTTGCAATTTCATTACTATTACAAATTCTATTACTGTTCATATATATATTATTTGCTTTATTTTTGTTTTTATGATTCTTTAATCGGTATATTAACATCAGCTAAAAGGCAAGAAATTTTGAAAATTGGTATGCTATTTTAGCGGTATAATCAACGGTGAATGTGAATGTCACAACTATCAAACTTTATAAAAGATTAATGTAGAAACCATCACTCCGCGCTGGGCGCGGGTCAAACCCTAGTATATATGTAAGGCATTGACTCTATGTTCCGGGTGCAGTGTGGAAGATTCGAAGGTGTAGGTAACAAGCTCGTTTCCTGAGTTGGCCCATTTCTAACTATGAAACCCATTATAATTTCGTACGGTAAATGTGTATCCATGTGACAATGGAACATCATCTATGTACAGTAGAACCTCTATAAATTAATACTTGATAAAATAATAATCACTACTCCCTCTATTCCAATTTATAAGCTGTTTTAGCAAAAAGTGAAAAATTAAGGAAAATAATTTTCTTTAGTAAAATATTGTTTATTATATTAATTAAATAAAAGTTAACCAAGAATAAAAAATATAAAAGATAATTGGACCCACAATATCCAATAAAGTATATAGTGCATTGATAAAAGCAAAATGCTTATATTATGGGATAATTTTTTTTCTAAAACAGCTTATATTATGAGACAGAGGGAGTATAAGATAATAAATTTCTACGATCCCAATTCAGGCCGGTGTAAAAATAAGCAAAATGCAATAAGATGATAAAATAATAATATTTTTGAAACTACTATGTAAATATATGGTCACAATTATAAGTTAAAATAATAATTATATAAAACAATACATTGTATATGCCTAAGAAAATTATTAAACTATGAATTTAAAGTTATCTGTAACTTTTTGTTATATAAAAAACTCATAATGCAATTCTTCTATGCATGTAAATTTTTTTAATATGTTCTAAACACATTAGCTATAGTTTTTTCTAAACCTTTAATTTTTATCATGTATAAATTTTATATTTATATAAGCTAATAATATATGTTTTATTACGATATCTAAAAGACTTGGTTATAATTTCAAGTTTATATATGTTATATTAATTAATAAATTATTTTAAAATTTTAATATATTATCATATGGAGAATAATTTCTGAAAAGTATCAATGAAACAAAAATATTTTTATAAATTAAAAAATATTGAATATATTCATAAAGTAATACCTCTATAAGATAATAAATTTTCAAAATCCCAACATTATATATTACTTTATAGAGGTTTTATACCTGCAAATATATATAACATCAAACTCTCAAATTATATATAGGTGGTTTATATGATAATCCTTCTTTCTTTTTTTTGTTGCTAGAATGTTTCTTACCAGGATTGTTAGCGATAAATCTGATGACAATCTATCCACCAGGTGGTACACCCACGGTGTTTCTCATTCGCGGGTTAACCAAATGGAACAAAAAAAGACAAAGTACACCAAATGCTAGAAGTCACTATTTTTGAAAATAAAGTATAGAAAGTCACTCTTAGCGTAAATGATCACTCATATTAAAATCATATATCCTTTGGTTTGGTTCGGTTAATTAGGATACTCAAGGCTTTCTATTTAGTTGAGTTTTAACTAAATACATAACTATTTCGTTTGATATAAAATTATCTGACCTTCATTTTCAATGATTGGAAACTAAATTAACCAAATCATAGTCAATACACATATTAATGTTCTTATTATGGTTGTTTTGTTGCGAACTTTTCACCACGATCGGGAGCCTTACATTGAAACGACGAACGCAAGAGACAAGTTGTCACGGGAATTATGATTTGGGACTAAGCTAATTTTGGAACAATGGCAGTGAGCCACATTGACGCAGTCTTCGAAACGAAATTTCTCTCCTTCGCCATCAACAAGTGATTCAAGTCAAACTAGGAAATATTATCGAAAAATCAATTGCAAACGCCCAAAGAGTTTTCTAGAAGACCTATCTCATGGATGTATCAAGAAGTTGTCCAGATACAAAGAACCAATCACCATTATATCAAGAAGTTGTCCAGATACAAAGAACCTATTACGATTGTTGGTGTTGGCTAAAAAATCTGCCAAGATGATCTTCTTTTATGACTTTGTAATTAATTTGATTTTTTAAACATTTATGTCATTTTAATTTGGTATCGTATGACCACCAAATTTTCTCTCTACAAAAGACTTCACTTCACTATCATTGTAATTAATATTTTGAGTCCGAGTGAAGATGTTATATCACACATGTCACATTTTGGTTGGCTCTAAGTAAGTGGAACATGTGTCATCAGTACGTGATTGGCCAAAAGAGGACGGTTTTACGTGTTAACCTGGGCTTAAGGAAGGGAATGAATGTGTGTCACTGTCATGGAAGCCATAACTTGATAAGCCATTAGCGGTCACCCTGAACCAGTAGTGGAAAAACGATTTCTTTGACGATGGTTTGAAAAATGATCCACAAGTTAAAAAGTTCGAACATGTTGCTTGATTTCTGGCTTTTCCCTATTTCCTTAGCTGTACGGTTCAATTTTTTATTTTGTTGTGTACATAATACGTTTATGTTAAGCAACAAATTCGAAATTTCAATAAAACAATGTTTCACTAGGTTAGATGGAAACAACTAAATCAATTATTAATTCAATTAAAACAACCAGATATTTATGTAACTATCCTTCACTAAATTTTTTAAGTTATAATCAAATTAGAACTTGAATCATAAAAGATTAATATGCACTAGATATGACTATGACTATGCCGAATAATTTGCACTAGAAACCGAAGCCATGTGAACAATTCCATATACGATCTCAGAAGAATACATGGGAAAAACTATATGAATATCAAATAAATAAATGTAATATCACAGAATATTACATGAAAAAAAGCATGTCTCTAGATACTGTATTATAATTTCGATTAGATATCATCGTCAATTATGGCAATCACATGATCAGATATCAAATATATACATGAAACTAGATTTCAAATTGTAATACCAAATACCAAACTTATTTTAGATAACTTGTTTGAATATACAACTTAGATGTTTCGCAACAGAAAACAATTGACTGAAATAGATCGAAGTCGTGTACGTATAACACTCTAAACGTCGTGTCCCTGCTGGATATGTTTTTGAAAAACAAAAATTAAATAGATCGAAGTCGTATGGCACTCCCAAATATATATATTTTTCATATGAGATCATCCCATTTAATTTAGTCATTTAAATTCCTTTTCAAATGGGATCATCTTTAGAAAAACATGTGGAAATATTTATAAAATTTCAAAAATCATTAGAAAAACATGTAATTAGATGTTAGCACAACACGGTTAGTTTCCATGAAAATATACTAATAGTTTTCGACATAAGCTTTTAACTTCATAAAACAAAATTAAATGACTCAACACATAAGTAGTAACGTATATGACTCCCCCTTTTTTGTTGGTTTGGGTTTCTCCCAAGTCTCGGGACTGTCGGGAGATGCTCTTCCGGTCCTCGGATCAATAAGCATACCTCAGTTGGTTGTGCACTCCTTGATCTCATCGGAGCTATGTCTACAAAACCAAAATTCTAAACATGGAATAGTGTTTTTTAATATACATTTTTTATGTTTTAGACGTTTCTCATAATTTTTTTTGTTCGTTTTATCCCATTATTAGCTGTTTCAATCTGCCTATTTTATTATTCTTTATAGTTACATTTGTTTTCACTCCATTTATAAAAGTCTTCTCCTTTTTGTTAACGTTATCTGGTTGTACATGTTCAAAGCGAGGTTGTATTTTTATTCATAAATTTGATGTAGACCGTATGCTTTCTTGAATTAGAAATTTGGTGTATCATTTTGAGATACAATTATATAAGCCAAGGAAGAAGAAAAATATATAAAAAAAAAACAGAGTAAAAATACTTGTTGAAGGAAGATGAGGTCAAGAATTGGAACCTCTATGCTACTGATCTTCCTTTTCGTCCAAATTTATTCTGTTTCTGCACTCACAAATGGTCTGGATGGTAAGTATACATAATCAAAGACTCAAGGTTTTTTTCACAAATAAGAATATCAGGATCACTGAACTAGTTCCAAAAATGGTGCAGCTTCTGCATTACAATCCCTGAAAGCTGAATGGACCAGATTTCCTGTGAGTTGGGAAGGCTCAGATCCTTGTGGGACCAAATGGGTTGGAATTACATGTAGCGATGACCACGTCGTTTCCATGTAACAACTTGTTTCTTTTTCTCTTCCTTATCCGATAATCATCTACAGACTCTAAAACGTTGTGTTGTTGATTGTTGCAGATCACTAGGTCATCTTAACTTGGAGGGAAAGCTTTCTTGGGATATTACAGCCTTGGCTGAATTGCAGATCTTGTAGGTCTTTCTTCTTTTTTTTTACATAGAAATAATTAATTTTGTTATCAAAATATGTTCCAATCTTTGTAGGGATTTGTCATATAATATTGGACTATCCGGATCTCTTCCACCAAATATCGGTGACCTTAAGAAGTTGAGGAACTTGTAAGCAAAGTAACAAGACAACTACTTACATATCTCCTTGTCTTATCTCTTATTTTAACAAACATTTTGTACTCTTTAGGATCCTTGTGGGATGTAGTTTCAGCGGGCAAATCCCCGAGTCCGTTGGATCTTTAGAACAACTTGAATATCTGTAAGATTTTGTTGCTTCCTATTACTATAAACAATTTTTTTTGGCACTCTCAAGCCTCTCTTACCATACTAGTCTTCTTCCATATACAGCTCCTTGAACTCAAATCAATTTAGTGGAACAATCCCAGCTTCCATTGGACGGTTATCGAAACTATATTGGTTCGATATAAGTGACAATCAGATCGAAGGAAATATTCCAGTTTCAAATGGAACTTCTTCACCAGGACTTGACATGCTTCATGAAACAAAACATTTGTATAAACAAATCCCAAGTCTTTCTATTTCTTCTAATTGATCTCGAACTCACTCACTCACCTTCGCTTGTGTGGCAGTCATTTTGGAAACAACAAGCTTTCAGGCGATATCCCAGAAAAACTCTTCAGCTCCAACATGACTTTGATCCATGTGTAAGTTTCAGGGGCTAGGCCATGACTGAGGACGACCAACATTTTTACTTTTTATTGGTCACATAGTTTTTTCTATATTAGATGTTCATAGGTCACAAACATATTTTAAAACTTACGACTTATAAAAAAAAAACATAATTTACTGTAAACAAAAAGAAAAATGATATCATAATGCTGTTTTACTGGAGAAAAAAAAATGTAAAACCCTCTTTTTTTCTTGACTTTGACCATCGTTCATCAAACATGTGAAAACTGATCGAGAGATTTTTTTTTGACATCAACTGATCGAGAGTTGATAAAAATTAAGAGTGTAACGAAATAAGTGATTGCATGCATTGTCTATTGGTAGGTTATTCGATAACAACCGATTCACGGGGAAAATACCAGACAGCCTCAGCCTCGTTAAAGCATTGACAATTTTGTAAGTATAAAAAAAAAAATTCAAATTGTTTATATATCCTAACTCCATCAATCTCATATCTTCTTTCTCTGTTCCAGGCGCCTTGATGTGAATAAACTAAGTGGAGACATTCCTTCAGGTCTTAATAATCTCACAAATCTTGAATACCTGTAAGTGATCAACTTGAGTTTTGTTCTGTGTATCATATATCTAAATGAAAAGAGTTTACAGATTTTTCAGTTGAATCCATTTCAGGCACTTGGCCAACAATCGATTTACAGGTAGTCTTCCAATTTTAAGCAGCTTGGCCAGTCTAAACAGTTTGTAAGTTATCATATTTTGCCATCACTACTCTTATGAAACTTTCATTTTTAATCAAGCTAATTAATAACATCGTGTGGTTGTAATATCATAGAGATGTCAGCAATAACACTTTGGATATGTCACCCATTCCATCATGGATCTCTTCATTACACATGTTGAAAATTTTGTATGATCTCTCTCCCTATATCTACATATATATATATATATATATATATATATATATATATATATATATATCTTACTTACTAAGAACAAATGGGCTTCTCCTTGGCAGAAATATGGAAGGGATCCAACTTGTAGGTCCAATACCATTCTTCCTTTTCAGCCATATTCAGTTGCAGATTGTGTGAGTAAAATGGAACATAAAACTGTGATTGGGAATCCAACTCAAAATATTAAAACCCGTACTGACTTTTGTATTCTTTCTTTTTTTTTCTTTTCCTTGCAGTAATCTAAAGTGCAATAGGATAAACGAAACCTTGGACTTTGGTACTATTAATAGCAGCCAGTTGAAGTATGTGGATTTACAATACAATAATATAACTGACTATAAACCACCAACTAATAAACGCATCAAAGTAATGTAAGTTTGATGGTCTCACAAATCAAAACTATTTTTGTTGATCAACCAATTACTCATGTATGTTAATATTTTTGATAGATTGGCGAATAATCCTGTATGGCGGGAGGTGGGGAACGAACGGAAGTATGTTCAGCAATCCATCACAAATGCTCATCTTTTTTACCGTCCCAAGAAACTATTCTTCTTGTGATCAAGATAAGGAAAGGAGTCACTCTTGCTGTTGTGTGTTATATCCACAAGTATATGAATTCTGTAATATTATGTAACAAATTAAATAGTCCCTGCGGAACTGCTTGTAGGAAGAAAATGTGATAGGAAAATCACAATTTGGTGTACTTTGGTCTTTGGGTAATCGATGCTTTGTTGTTTATATATATGGTAAATTGGTAATGTAAGGTATATGTACTTTAGGTTATGCTTGTTTAGTTTGTATATATATATATATATATATATATATATATATATATATATATATATATATATATATATAGATAGATTAATATATGTAAGGTATTTGATTACCTTGTGATTACCTTCAGGACGTTAATTTGGAAGCTAATTGCAAATTAGGGATTTCTTCCTCTTAGGGCAATCTTCTTTGAGGGTTTTTTAGTCATGCACTTTTGTCTTGCTCTGTTTTTCCAACCTCTTGTAAATAATTTTATTTTTTTAGTAGATAATTTCAAATTTCACTAAACATGAAAAAAGATAAAAATAAAAATGTAACTCCTAAAAATCAGAAAATAAAATGAATCTGGGCTACTTCTAGCAAGACAAATCAACGTTAGTCGTCGGAGATTCATAGATCGTTGGATTCCGCATACACTGTGGAAGATTTGAAGGTGGAGGTAGCAAGATCGTTTCCTTAGTTGGCCCATTTTGAACTATGAAACCCATAATAATTCCATACGGTAAATGTGCATCCATGTGACAATGGAACATCCATGTACCTACAAATATATATAACATCAAATTTTCATTTCAAATTATAAACTATATGATTTTCTTTTTTTTTTTTGTTTTGAAAAAAATAAAATGTTACTTACCAGGATTGTTAGCGATAAATCTGATGACAATCCATCCACCGGGTGGTACACCAACGGTGTTTCGCATTTGCGGGTTAGCAAGATTTAGATTTCTTGCATCCAAGATCGGATCATAGTTACCGAATCCATAACCCAAAACATAGAAGTTGAAGCCGTGAAGGTGCATTGGGTGGCTCTCGGCGGTGATTACCCCAGTGTTCTGCACAACAATCTCGACTGTAGAATTAAACCTAAGTTTCTTGACGCTAGTCTTCCTCTCCGGAAACATCATCTTGTATTCATAATCAGTACGTGTTTCAAAATTTGCATAGTCAAACTTTAGCGGCGGGTTTTCGGGAAAATCGTCCGTGTAAACTCCACTTATATTGTAGTAATAAGCTTCTTGCAAAGAGATTGTTGCCGGCATTACAAACGTACGGTTGTTGAGAGAACCAGCGTACCTTTGACCTAACGGTCCAATACACTTAGTTCCCGGAGGACATGGGTCTAAGCCAAGCCCCATCGTCATGAACATTTTCTCGTCCACGTGGCGAGGCACTGGCGTCCAGTGGGGTCCACCCACGAGGCTAGTGATGTTCGAGGAAAACCTATGAGCTGTGGATACTGCATCCACTCCAGGCATCAACGACGTAGCTGGGGAGGCTGATGACGTGGAACCCACGTATGTAATTAAGCCTCTGATGTTGGTGTTGTTGCCGGGGACAGGTACGATATTGCTGGCACTAATATAAGGGCTGATGGACATGTAGTACCTCCCGATAAGCTGGTCGGCGGTGAGAAGTGCGTCGACGGTTTGTCCCGGCGTCAAGATCATCACATCGCTAACGTAAGGCGTTGTGTAGACAGCATCTATAGCGACAACTGTCACGTTGTGATTAGCTATTTTGAAGAAGAGGTGAGTGTTGAGGGCCGCGTTTATAATCCTTAGCAAGTATGTTTTTCCTTGTACTACCTTGAGGTTAAACATCCCTGTCGAAAGAAAAATAAATTTACATCTTGTTTCTTTATGCAGTTTTGGGGTAAAATGAAATAAAGGATGAGTATTACTGTTCTTGGAGCAAGGATATGAATCTCCAGCTAGGCCATTGATGAGGTAAGCATCGGAAACAGGAGCTGGCCGTAAATTGAGAAGTCTAAGATCTACGTCCCACCATTGTGCTTGCATAATCATATTTTTAAAAATAACTTAAGGGTCAATAAATTAATTAACAACTTGAACAATATTTTAATATCTTATCGAGCACAAGTTGGACACCCGAATTTTAGCACCCTACAACTTTACTACTTTAGACATATATAAATAATAGTTTGCACACAAAAAAAGACATATATAAATAATAAAATTTACTTATAACTACTTGCTATTTATTATTTGTATATGTCTAAACTCTTAAGTAGTAAAGTTAGGAACAAGAGTCAATGTCAGAAAATAGTTCAATGTATCTTGAATAGTTAAAAAGATAATTAATAATCTTGGTGAGTTATTTTCTGACATTGACTCTTGTTCCTTATAAACCAAGAGAACATCAGTTTAATAAAAATTAAAACGATAATTAATATTTTTTAAATAAATTCGTCCACAACTCATTTTTCATTATTTATATTTATCAATTATAAACATAAAAGTTATCAATGTAATAAGAGGAACAAATGGTACTGATTTCAGCTAAGTGAAGGAATGCTTACAAAAAATGAGAGGAACTTCCTTGTAGGGTTTAGGAAAAGGGTAAAGACTTCCGGATCGGGGACGGATGATCAAAGCTCCATGAACAGTGGCTCGCAGATTAACGACGTGTGCGTGCCATAGTAACGTACCTTCTTGTCCGGTAATATCGAATCGGTACTTGAAGTTATTACTTGGTTGAATCGGACACTGAGTTATCATATTTGCACCATCCATCCATGAGCTCTTCATCTGAAATACCCCATGCCTAAACAGATATTTTTAATTGAAAGCACACAACAAAGGTCATAAGTGATGAAATTATAAAACCAAGAGATCAGTATAGTTTAGTTAATTACCAGTGGATGGTTATATTGTAAGTTGAGTTGTTGATGACATTAACCACAAGAGTGTCTCCCTCTCTAATGTTTATGGTCGGTCCGGGAAGACTTCCGTTAACAGCCGGTATCATTTGCTCCTTGCACAATGGCTTTACATACACATTTTTTACCTGTTGCGAGAAGCCGATAATGTTGTGTCAACGTAAATGTGTTTGATGTTAACATTTACAGTATTGTATAATTTTTTTCAAATGAAACCACAGTTTAAACATTTTAAAATCAATTTAGTTATAATATACATAAAACGCCCAACCTAGATAAACGAAGAACATTTCGTTTGGGTTTGTAATTTATGTAGAAAATCTCTCTTTACGAATTTCGAAAAAATATAATTTTTATAAAAATGCAAACACCTCTTTTCGAACAGAAAACAAAAAAAAACTTAAATACATAACTACTATTGGTCTGAAAAGCTGATGCATGAATAAAGATTTAGATCCACCGAATACGGTAATATTTTTATATGGAGTAAAAGACAAGCACATGCGACCACTTTTCCGCGTTTAGGTAAAAGAGGTACCGGCTACTATATATTTAATCAAATGAAATACTGTATGATGTAATATGCGTAATATACCATAAGTGGTAGTTTAAAAAAAAACTTTGAAAGAGTGGAAAAAACTAGGAGAGAGTGGCATAATAGTAAATACATGGAAAACGTATTCAACGATTGCTGCTGATGCCATTGAAGAGAAGAGAAGGACGACTAAGATTGTTTGCATTGCGAGAGGCATTGTTGACGTTAGGATCTGAAAACTTGTACCGATTCCTTCGTTACCAAAAAAGGAATGACGTTCTTCAGTTCTTCTGACGTTGGGATTCTTTTCTTGCCAAAAAGAGATGGCTTTGTTGTGACTTTGTGTGAAACTCGTATGCGTATTTATAGAAAGCACTATGAGAAGAGAAAGATCTGTGAATAAGATTTTGATAAAGTGTTTCTTGACTTTGCGAGACCATATGGTCTATTTTATTATATAACGAAGACTGTTGGCGGGGGAGAGAGAAGTGGAAAAGTTTTTGATAAAGTTTGGTTTTTACTTGTTAATTAGTGAAAAATGGCAATCTCAAACAGTATTCCACACTTTCCTCGTGCATTAGCTGTCGACAAACATATTTTTTCATTTTTTTTGGTTCTTATTGCACAAGTATGTCTTGTTTAGATCTATTTGGTGGTGGCCAAAAGATTTGTTTTAGTTTCGGTTTCTAGAGTTCGTGTCTTTTTGGTGGTGGCCAAAATATTTATTTTAGTTTATGTTTCTAGAGCTGTTATTCTTTTACTACTACTAGGGTTAAGCTCGCGCGATGCACGAGTTATGACTATTACAAAGTTTTATCCCTTGTTTTAATTTTTATATGAATTTTCAAACATTTTTATTTATATATTTCTATATTCTTTCTTATCTTATCAAAAATGAAATATTGAAAAACAATTTCTCCATATATGGTAAACATAAAATGTGTAAATTAAAATAACATGCAAAAATATCTTATCTCTCCACCGTTTTGTTTCGCTTACAATAAAACCATCTCATCATCACCATATAATTTGTTACCATCAAACTTAACGGGAACCACCACCAAAAGACATGCTAAAGCAATGCATATACCTCCTGCATCCATACCAATTATTACCGTTGACGATTTTTACATCGGTTCTCTTTATATTCTTTCTAATCTTATATATTGAAAAAAAATTTCTCCACATATATGGTAAACATAAAATGTGTAAGTTAAAATGACATGCAAAAATATCTTATTTCTCCACCGTTTTGTTTCGCTTACAATAAAACCATCTCATCACCACCATATAATTTGTTACCATCAAACTTAACGGGAACCACCACCAAAAAACATGCTAAAGCAATGCATCTGCCTCCTGCATCTATACCAATTATTACCGTTGGCGATTTTTACATCGGTTCTCTTTAGCCTAACTAACGATAAAATGAAAGTGTTAATATTTTTTCCAAAAACATTAAAATTAACATTATATTGATAACTAAGATTCATTAATTTGGAATTTAACTCATTAATAAAAGCTAATGTATTTTGAATTATCTTTAAAATGTTTGGATTGACAATATGGTCCTTAAATCCATAATTATTTTATAGGGTTATATTTTCTCTGTCCCATAATATAAACTGTTATCCAGATACATCCAAAAAAATTGCAAATACATTATGCCAAAACAGCTTGTAATATGGGACAAAGAGAGTATAGCTTAGGGCTATTTACCACACTCTGAGTAGACAGAAAAAATTATACTCCTTAAATCATGAACTTGTGTATCATTACGGGCCTTAAATCATCATTAGCTAAAAGCCCAAAACCTTGAAATGAAACGACGTCATTTACGGACTTGTGTACAACAACGATTACGATTCTTGTATCTCACTTTCTCTCTCTCCCTCTCGCTCGCTATGTTTCTTTTGCCGGTTCCAATGGTGTCATCATCAATGGACGAGTTTCCTTCCACCGCTGATATCAGTTCCATCGTCAGATCCAAATCTCACAGACGACGATCCAATGGCGTCATCATCAATCGACGAGCTTCCTTCTACCGCCAATATCACTTCCGTCGACGAGCCAATTCCATCGTCAGATCCAAATCTCACAGACGACGATCCAATGGCGTTACCATCAATCGACGGTCTCTGACGGTGGAGATTGAAATTCCATTTCGCGTTTTTGGGAGCGTGGAGGAATCGTCGAGAGGGATCTATTCTCGGCGAAGATTGGTGGACGGTTGCAGTGGATTGACTTCTCAACGGTGGTTCATCGAAGAGACGGAATCGGAAGGGATCTATCCGACGGCGGTGAATGCTCCGGTTGGGAGTTGGTGATTTTTTGGTAATCTATATTATAATGAGAGGATATCACTTTTCAGTTGAGTGACACCTGGCAGCTCTCCTCCTTCTAATAAAAATGACACGTGTCATTCCTTCTTTCATTGAAAAAAAAAATTAGAGAAAATTTGATTTTTATCCCTAGACTTTATTTTTTTCCTCAAAAACAAAAGAAATAAACCTTCCTTCGTTTCTTGTAAAGAAGGAATGCCATGTATCATTTTTATTAGAAGGAAGAAAGCTACCAGGTATCACTCAACTGGAGAGTGATATCCTCAAATTATAATATAGATTATGTCAGATTGTTAGCAGGATTCCACTGAATTTGAATCTGGAAAGTGTATGGTACAACAACTATTCCAGTTCCAAATGACTAAATTACGTGACTCTTTAGCATTTATATAAACCAATTGGATTTGTTGTAATATCCGGTCTAAAAATCAAAAGTCTATTAAAAACTAGATTTATACATGAGCATGTTTCACAAAATTTTAATATAAATCTGTCAACAATATAAATCTACTTATTATAATTTTCAAAGGAAATCTATATAAATATATGTGTATAAACATCAATTTAATTGAGTATAAATATAAGTATATAACTATACATGGTTTGGTAGATAGATCTCACTGCCAGAATAGCGATTTGGAGTATTAATTTGGCACAGCTTTTAGGACAAATATTAGTTATTGGAGAGTGTGATTATTTTATTATTGAACAATCAAGAATGTGACAAAACAATGGGTTCTAGATTCTGTACATAAATGATTTGACATTTTGTCAAATAAATATCATCCTTAAGCACAGCATAAGAATGGAGGATCAAGAGCTCTCGCTGTAAATTCCTCTTGTCCTCATGATTCCTTAGAACAAGATCATGCGAAAGAAATTTGGCCTGCAAGACGAAGATCGTCACATAAAAACGGATGATGATGACAAAAAAAAAGTGAATACCATAAGACATACACGTAGCTCTTCACCGAGCAACCATGACTCCTATTTAACAAGAGCCAAGTTAAAGAAAGCAAGAATTGCAAGAGTTTTCAACTTTTTATGAACTCATAATAGTTTTTTTCGGTGGTGTTGTTGAAATAAGGATTCAAACCAATACTCATTACCAGTTTAACGATACATTTGATTTCCTTGCTAAGTCCGCCCAACCAAAATACACTCCTGAAGGATGTGCGAGTAGCTCATCTGCATGCATAAATCCCTTGTTAATAAGTTAGCTGAAAATTAACAAATGCAGTGATAAGTAAAGAGGTCATACAAGTATATAGTGTTGAAAGAGCTCGATTTTGATGATTTTTTACTTTCTCGGCAGATGTATAAAGATTTGTTTGTTTAGGCAGAGAAGGAACAACAATCACTTATGTCCAATCAACTTTGCCAGCCATAACACCTGGTCTGCCAAATCCAATTAAACTAATTACTAAGAGATTTTTTTGTTGTTGTTTTGTTTAATTCTATACATATTTACGGCATTTGAGCATTTCTCCTAAAATACATCAGTTCATTACTTCATTGCTAACAATGATGTCCTAAAGACGGCCCCCACCGTCCCTAGCGAATTTTCTAATGTGTTAGGATTGCGATGTGTATAATGTAATCTGCTCAACTCTTTATTTTTTAATGATAATGATCATTCTTAATTTCTTATGTTTGGGATAAAATAGACCAATTTCGTTCTCTTGCGTCGAAGAAATGGTGTTTGCTGGTGTACACGTTTCACCTATGCATAAAAAATTAGCCCTCTGGCTAACCATGTTCATCTTTTGTAACTTAATAACAAAAAAAAAAAAAACGAACCTAGTTTTTTCTTCCTAAAATGTATTTATCAAATACAGTTTTAAAGGGATTCTGTGTTCTTGGCTTTTATTCAGTCTTCCCACATTCTCCTTCTCAGCCTTTTTCTCGTACATTTTTGTTTTCATACAGAATTGAAATACAAAAACATTCACGTTCTATTAATTTTAAAAGAATAAACAAAAATGTATTTAAAATATTTTTTTGGGAACTAAAATTTTCGTAATTAGTAAAGGATAATGAATTATTTTGTATTCCATTAACGATATTGCATCAATGGGAGAGTCCAAACTAAATCAACAAAAGATAGACAAATATATTTAAGAAATATATGTATACATCCTCTGTTTTTTTTTTTTTTTTTATTATCGTCAAAGTATATATCCTAATAATTATAACATTATGTTTTTTTTGTTTTTTTTTTGGTTTGTAAATTATTTATCCTGTTACAACAAATAGATACATTTGTAATTTTTTCTTAATTAGTAGAGGATAATGAATTATTTTGTATTCCATTAATGATGATTATTGCATAAATGGGAGCTAAATCAACAAAAGATAGAAACAAATATATCTATATAAGAGATATATGTATATATATCCTCTGTTTATTTTGTCATCGATATGCATATATATCCTAACAACTAGTATAAGATTATGTCTTTTTATTGTTTGTTTTTCTTTTTTTTTGTAAATAATTTATCCTCTTAAGTCCTAACAAATAGATACATTTCTCTCTTTTTTCTTGGCCTTTTTATTTTGCTAAATTAGGAGAAAAAAAGGAAAACAACAAAAATTGATGTCACAAAGAGAACACAAATATCTGACCTTACGTCCTTAAGCAAAAAATCAAAAAACAAAAAAAAAAACAATAAAGAAATCAACTTTTTAACATCTGCTTGAGCGCGAGAGGTTCTTATTCCAGGAGACTCGAGCTCTTAAACCACGATCTTCTCCATATTCATCTGATCGGGATCGAAATCGTGGAGGAAGATGGATGATCGGAGCGACGACCACGATATTGAGGTGGAAGGAGCTTATCACGCATACGAGAGGAAGATTTCCGGAATTCTTGATGATGGATCTGTCGGATTCCAACAGCCTCTGCTCGCAAGGAATCGAAAGAACACAACTTCGCAGATCGCAATTGTCGGAGCAAACACTTGTCCCATCGAAAGCCTTGATTACGAGTATGTTCTTGTTATCCCTTTCTCTCTTTCTTCTGGATCGATTCCTGAAGTTTTTAATGTTATGCAGAAATGTTTCGATTAGTTTTGAATCTTTATCTCAAAGTTTTGATTTTTTTTTTTTGTAGATTATGAGTCTATAAAGTTTTCATTACCAATGCGATAAGATTGTTGAGTTATGTAATGTTTTGGGTCCCATCTACTTTTAAACAGAGAGTTGCATTTTTTTATTCATTGGTCTAAGCTTTTGAAAGAGTGATAACTTTTAGCTTTTGAGACATGAGAACAGTGTAAAGTCTGTTTTTTTTTTTGTCTCATAATCTTTCGCAATGGAGAAATGAAACAGTCCTCAAGATGCAATCATTATCTTAAAACTGAATTGACTCTTTGTTTGTGTGTGTGTTTGTGTGTTTCCTAGTGCTATAATTGATTGTGTTGTCTTGCCTAATTTGGTATGATAGTTTGGTGGTGTATCAAATTTTCTGTTATATATAAAGATCTTGAACTTAAAAGCTCTGTTTTTTTTGTTTTTGGTTTTTTTTTGTTGGTAGGATCTTTGAGAATGATCTATTCAAGCAAGACTGGAGGTCAAGGAAGAAGATTGAGATACTTCAGTACACGATTCTGAAATGGGCGCTTGCTTTCCTGATTGGTTTAGCAACTGGCCTCGTTGGCTTTTTAAACAACCTTGCTGTTGAGAACATAGCTGGTTTCAAACTCTTGCTCACCGGTAACCTCATGCTCAAGGAAAAGTAAGTCTTAACCTCTCATCTCTGTTTCTATGACCTAGCAATAAATTGAATGATCTTTCTTGAAAAACTGCAGATACTTTCAGGCATTTTTCGCATTTGCCGGATGTAACTTGGTTTTGGCAACTGCTGCTGCTTCACTATGTGCATTCATTGCTCCAGCAGCGGCAGGATCTGGTATCCCTGAGGTTAAAGCATATCTCAATGGTATAGATGCTTACTCAATCTTAGCTCCGAGCACCCTCTTTGTCAAGGTAAGCTCACAAAACATCTTTCCTCATCTTGAGCTATAGCATTTTCAGTTAGCCTTTTTCTAATATGTCGTATGTGGCAGATCTTTGGATCTATATTTGGAGTTTCAGCGGGATTCGTAGTTGGAAAAGAAGGGCCTATGGTGCATACTGGTGCTTGCATTGCTAATTTACTTGGACAAGGTGGTTCAAGAAAGTATCGTCTGACTTGGAAGTGGCTTAGATTCTTCAAGAACGATAGAGACAGAAGAGACTTGATCACTTGCGGTGCTGCTGCTGGTGTGGCAGCTGCCTTCCGTGCTCCAGTTGGAGGAGTTCTCTTCGCCCTTGAAGAAGCTGCTTCATGGTAATAACTTCTCTCATAAACTTATCCAACTTGGGGAAAGGTTTGTGTCTCAGTCTCACTTAAGTTTAAACTCATTTATAGGTGGAGGAGTGCCCTTCTTTGGAGGACCTTCTTCACCACAGCAGTTGTAGCAGTGGTGTTACGGAGTCTGATTGAGCTATGTCGATCTGGGAGGTGTGGACTGTTTGGAAATGGAGGTCTCATCATGTTTGACGTAAACTCTGGAGATGTGCTTTATAGTACTCCGGATTTGCTAGCTGTAGTGTTCATTGGAGTTGTTGGTGGTGTCCTTGGAAGCCTTTACAATTACCTTGTCGACAAAGTCCTCCGTACTTATGCCTTAATCAACGAGTACGTCTGAGTTCACTTGGATTTGTTTTCTTTTGGCTTCTCTCAGTTTGATTAAGTTTCTCTTCTTTGCATAACTTGCAGGAGAGGTCCATGGTTCAAAGTGATGCTTGTTATGGCAATTTCCATTTTGAGCTCGTGTTGTGCATTTGGTCTCCCATGGCTTTCACATTGCACGCCCTGTCCTATCGGATCAGAGGGCAAGTGTCCAAGCGTAGGTCGGTCAGGGATCTACAAGAGCTTCCAGTGTCCTCCAAACCATTACAATGACCTTTCCTCTTTACTTCTCAACACCAACGATGATGCAATCCGCAGTCTTTTCACATCAAGATCTGAAAACGAGTTCCAAATCTCCACTCTTGCCATGTTCTTTGTCGCTGTATACTGCCTTGGCATCATAACATACGGCATAGCCATACCTTCAGGGCTTTTCATTCCGGTGATTCTCGCTGGAGCCTCTTATGGAAGACTAGTTGGTAGACTTCTCGGTCCAGTGTCTCAGCTTGATGTTGGTCTGTTCTCTCTCCTTGGAGCTGCTTCTTTCCTTGGAGGGACAATGAGAATGACTGTTTCTCTATGTGTCATACTTCTCGAGCTTACGAACAACCTCTTAATGCTTCCATTGGTGATGCTTGTGCTCCTTATCTCGAAAACAGTAGCGGATTGCTTCAACAGAGGAGTTTATGACCAGATTGTGACAATGAAAGGACTGCCTTACATGGAAGACCATGCAGAGCCGTACATGCGGAATCTGGTTGCAAAGGATGTGGTTTCTGGGCCTCTGCTATCTTTCTCAAGAGTTGAGAAAGTTGGTGTTATATGGCATGCATTGAAGATGACGAGTCACAATGGTTTCCCTGTGATTGATGAGCCACCTTTCACAGAAGACTCTGAGCTGTGTGGAATCGCCTTGAGATCTCATCTTCTTGTGCTTCTCCAAGGGAAGAGATTCTCAAAGCAGAGAACAACGTTTGGTTCTGAGATTCTTAGAAGCTGCAAGGCTCGTGACTTTGCTAAAGCCGGGTTAGGGAAAGGTCTCAAGATTGATGATTTGGAACTGAGTGATGAGGAAATGGAGATGTTTGTTGATCTCCATCCAATCACTAACACATCTCCTTACACTGTGCTTGAGACTTTGTCTCTAGCTAAAGCAGCTATACTTTTCCGGCAACTTGGACTTCGCCACTTGTGTGTCATTCCCAAAACAGCAGGGGTCAGTCTCTCTCTCTCTCTATGTCTCTCTTTTGGAGACTTGTTTTATGTTTTTTTTTTCTAATCTCATACATGTATGTGTTTGTATTGCAGAGACCACCTATTGTTGGAATATTGACAAGACATGATTTCATGCCGGAACATGTCTTGGGACTATACCCTCACATTGATCCTCTCAAGTGAATATTGTTAGACATTTTGTGCAGTTTTTTGTTTCAATTTGTTAATTTTTCTTTGTTTGTTTCATCTAATTGAAGCTTTTTGTTTTTCTTTAATCAGGTGATGAGGAACGGAGAAACAGTTTCCGATTTTTATACTCAATGTAATGAATATGTGCATATTAAAATTAAGAACCCCAGATGAGCAAAATGGTTTTGCTCTCATGCCATATTTATATTTATTTATTTGAATTATTTGTTGAGAAGAATATTGGGATAGTAGGAGAAGGGGATTTGTTCAATACTTCAATGTATTGAACTGAATAATAGAAGTTTGATTTGGTTTACACGTCTTCTTTTTTCTTTTCTCTCTCAAATTTTTAGATTAAAAATCTTGAAAAATAGGTAGAGACAAATATGTCAGAAAGGTATCAACTTAGAACTGAAGTTACAACATAAAATTTCTAAAAACCACAACTGAACAGAACGTTAGAATTTCTAATAATTCTTTGATAAGTTTCTTAATAATTCTTTGATAAGTTTCTTAGATAAACCATCATCCATATTCGGAAAAACAATTAAAAAAACATACTAAAATAAACATTTAGACCATAGTTTTCCACATGGTGTGTAGAGATACTTTTCCACTGATAATTAGCTAGACATTGTTATCCACACAGTGTTCAGTGTTGATACAATAAAAGCCTTTCATTATCAACTTAAATTGTCCTGATGAGCCGTGTTTAAAGCACACGTTTTATGTTATAAAAATATAAACTATAAAATTTTGGTTTGTAATTATATTTTTAATAATACTAACATTAAATGTTGTTTGTTTGGAAAAAAATTATTGTTGCACAGAAGTTGCTCATTCGAGGAATGTAGAGGGTAAAATTGTAAACAAAAATCACTCGTTGATTTGCAGAAAACCCTATATAAATTCTCAAAAAAACTCATTCCCAAGTATATTTATAACATTTGAAAGACAACCTAAATAATATTTTAAAGAGATGATGTGACCACACCATGAAACATTGCACAACAAGTGTCGCTTAGGTTTCTTCATTTAGAGATCTCAAGCTTTTAGATTTCTTTTCTCTAAGGTAACTATGGTCAAATCTCTTATTTCTTCTATTTTCAGTTTGTATAAGCCAGTCTCGTTTCTTGTAACTCTGACTGATTTTATGTTGTTTAGTTTACAATGAGTGGTAAACTATGAATAAACTAATAAATTAATATACATATATATTAAGGACGAGATGCTGAATTCTAAGAGTTGGTATAATGCGTGTGTTGTATACTAATTACTAAGAGATGCTGAATTTTCACTGTACAAGATCGAAATATAAGCAGCTAACACTTTGTGTATTCCAAAAATTGCCAACAGCTACAGCTATTACTTGCCTTTCATCTTATTGCCTCCTTTCTTGTTTCCTTTACTCTTCCGGCCACTTCCTCCTTCTCCTTCCTTCTTGTTCATACCGTAATTGCTCATCTTGTTATCTCTGTCATTGGTTCTCGCACAACCAGAATGTAGCAAATGCCTAACATCAAGAACACCACTCTTGAAATTCCCTTGAGTTGATTTTAGCACTCTGTCCTCTGGCTTACGCTTCCTCCTCTCTGCAGGTTTCTTCCTACTCACACTACCAACTAATCCTCCAAATCTGCCAAGAACCCTTCTCTGCAAAACACCCAATGAACAACTGAGAGACTCTAGATTGTTGTTAATAGTTCAAGAAGAACAGAGTGATTGATTATCTTAAAAAGCTCACATGTTCCAACATCTTCTCTTCTCTTTCTTTCTGTTTCTTCATCTCTACTCTCGCAACACTCAGCGGTAGCCTCTGTTTCTTTTGAGGCTGCAAATAACAACAAAATGCATAATCTCAACCACTGAAAAAACAAATCATGATCGGCAAAAAGGGCAACAATCTTACCTTTCCACCAAGTTCAGTAACTTTATCATTCTCCAATGCTTTCCTATCCTTCCATGTCATATGTGAGGAACCTTTAAAGATAAACTTGCATCATCATCATCATCATCATAATGCATTTGAGGATTCTTGAAAAGTTGTTCAAAGCCCAAAGTTTCTCACTTCCCTTTTATCATAATGCTAAAAGCAAACAAAATTGGCAAATGCTATGAAAATTTCTGCAGCTTTAAGAGAGAGAGAGAGGCAAGAGAGTGTTACCAACGCGCTCTATTTCTTTCATAATCTTGCTAAAGCTCATGTCATGATCAATAGACTCCATGATTTCCTTCTTCTTCTCTTTTAGACTGCGATAATACATTTTGGTTCTGAAATATATAGAATGAGGCAGAGGCTTCATTGAGATTTTGCGGATGCCTTAGGCCCTTAGCTATGAGACAGCGATTCCGTAAACATCACAATCGAATTCCGTACACAAACCTGAGGCGTGAGGAGTATGATTAGTCAAAGAAGCTAGCTTGGAGGAACATGAGAGTGGCAAGAATCTGCGACGGAGAGTGATGATGATGAACAACGGAAAACAATCAGAAAGGGGTTTAGGGTTTCTTCAGACGGCGGATGCATAACGTGGCGGAGACGGAAGCGCTTCTGAAGATATTGGGCTTATTATGGGCATTTTCCAGATTTCAAAGCCCTTTTCTACTAAAACAGTTTTTTTCCCTTAGTTTTAATTTCATTGTTTCTATTTTTTTTTTTTTTTCATTTTAACTACAATTATATTTTATTGAAATTAATGGTGAACAAAACATGAATGCATCTAATTTTTCGAAATTTATTTAAACAAATACTCCCTCCGTTTTTTTTAATGAATTTTCTAGCCATTATGTGTTATTTCACAAAGATAAAATTTTTACCTTTTTGATGCACTTTTTCAGTTTTCAAGATACAATGATTATATTTGTTGGATTTTTATTGGTTTAAAATTATAAAAAGTTGTTCTATTGCAGAAATCTATTCACTAATGATTGAAAATCAACTTTTTCTTAATCTGTGTGAAAAAACTAGAAAATTTATCTTTAAAAAACGGAGGGAGTATCATTTTTTTTTCTTGCTCATACCGTGAATTATGATGTACATGCAAATTAAAAACGAACATGAAGCAACTAAAATGTACATTCTCATAACACCTAAGGCTTTACACAGTACTTGTGAATAAAAATAGATACACAAAGAATGTTTACTAATGCATCTACTCTCTTGTCTCTTTGAAGGGTCCAGATTCATGCAACAGTTTGATGACATAATCCACCTGCGTATACAAAATTACATTAGATACCATTGTTTATCTACTCTATTTTAAACTTTACCAAAAAAATCACAAATAACTTACAAAAAACGCACCTGATTTGATTCACGCACCAAAAACTCGTCAATGGATTGCTTAAAACCTTGGTCGAATATGTAATGGCAACTATACGTTTTAACAGGAAGGTACCCTCGCTGAATCTTATGCTCACCTTGAGCTCCAGCTTCTACCGTTTTTAAATTAAGCTCTATTGCTGCTTCAATTGCCTATGAACCATCATTGTAAAAGGTAAAACTAACTATAACTATATTGTTATTCTAAGGGAAACATTTGAGGTATAAACAAGAACAAAACCTGGTAGTAGCAGGCTTCAAAATGGAGACTAGGATAATACGAGTCAGGACGACATCCCCATAGCCGCCCGAATAGAGTATCTCCTCCTATAAGATTCAATGCTCCTGCGACTGGCTCTTCGTTTTCTTCAGCAAGAACAAGCAAAACCCCGTCTCCCAGCTTTGATGCCATGTAGTGGAAGAACTCTCTTGTTAGATATGGTGTGCCCCATCTACACCATATCCGGAAAACGTTTAAGCATGCGAAAGAAGAAACATATGTATTATCAGAACCACACGATGCAGGTAACAAAAGGATATGTACTAAACTTGTTATCAGTTGTGTTCCTGTAGAAATCATAGAAGGAATCCCAGTGGCTAGCCTGCATAAACATTAGGGAACAATATGAAAACTGATTTATACAATGTCCAGACACATTAATCTAGAACGTAGAAAGAAACCTTTATTTCGTCTCCTCGCAGCCGTCTCATTTTCAAATTCTGGGTACCAATCTACTAGAGGAAAAATAAGCATTAGAAGTCAGCAGCGTGTTTGAAAAACGCCACAAAGACTTGATGAAGAAACAAGATTATGCTATAAGAACTTGTATGGGAAGGTGCAAAGCAATAATAGTAATTCCATTTTAACTACAAGCACAACAAGTGTGTGCCTTTTCCTTTTTACTTTTCTCCCAGATAATCTCTCACTCATTATCATCCCTTAACTACTTATGAACTAGGTTGATTTCATGATCTATAATGATAATATGATATGGAAAGAGGAAAAATATAACAAACCTTTTTGCGCTCCTGCCGGATATTTTTCCTTTTGCTCTGCTTCATGTCCATCAAGAACTCATCAAAACTGAAGCATTAGAGATAAAAAGAAAGTTAACTTTTAGATGAATAAAGTTGGATGTAAGCAAACCATGACCAGACAGCGGTTTAACGCATTGATATTCGTCTAACCAAATCACATCAAATGTGTCAACTGCTTCACATACTTGAACTACTATATCAGTATATTCACATAGATGTAAACAACAGCAGCCAACTGTTTATAAGAAAAAGCATATACCGTGAAATTTAATTATCACAATAAACGAAAAATAACTAGTATAACCAATCCAGTCATTGTGAAAAAACTACATTGGCAACGAAACTTCAATTACTTTTTATAGTCACGATTTTTCCAGTGGTACTGCATCCCAATCCTCTGTGAGAAGCCTTTCTCCTTCAGTTTGTTCCACTCATCACCAGACGGAAAAGTAATATGCAAAGATGAAACTTGTAACTGCAAAAATTGCACAGAATAAAATCTAAAAAACCCACCAATGACGAAAGCAGAACTCAACGCAAGAGAACCATTACAGCTCTAAAAAGGTGTATAAGGTAAGACTGTTCCTTTACTTGTAAACATAGAAGGAAAAATTCACTTGTGTGTACCTTAGCTGATCACAAGATTAGTCATACCTTAGCTGCGAGTTCTGTCATGGCAGAAACAATAGCATCAAAGACTTGGTCTTTGCAAGGACTATCACGGACAAGAATCCTAGGGCCAGTAACGGGAGTGAAAGGAACACAAGACTGGAGTTTAGGGTAATATCTCCCGCCGAAACTCCGGTATGCATCAGCCCAAGAGTGGTCAAAAACAAATTCACCATAGGAATGGCTGTGACACACAATATTACAAGACATGAGCCTTAGTCATAGTAAAAATCCATTATGTGATTTGACGTAACGAAAAAAAAAGACCTTTTGAGATAAAGCGGAGAAACACCCAAAACGTTGTCAGATTCATCCTTTGCAACAATATGTAATGGCATCCAACCTGTTTCCTGAAAACAACGGTTGCATAAAAAGATAAGAAAGACAAAACAATGATCAAATTATTACAAAAGGAGATTTGTTCTTTTTATTTTATTACCGACCCGAACAGCACATTTGGTGTCTTCTAAGCTTGAAAGAAACCCATGCATTAGAAATGGATTGTGGCTTCCAGGCTCTGAAGAATCCAGAGCACATGCGTCCCATTCTGCTTGTGTTATCTCCGATATTGAAGAAACAACTGAAAGTGAAATCACATTCTTCTTTCTCGAACCTTCCTAAACTCCACATAAATAAATAAACCACTGTTACAAAGGTTTTGGTTTTACACAAGTTGATGATGATAATTGATAAATACAACAAAGGAGATTTGTTTGTAAATACCTCGGTGCCTGACTCAGTTAGAGGATAATTACTAAGCGAAATGTCGAATTCTTTTACTTCCGGAGACTTATTAGACCTCCAAAACATAGCCCTCACTGTGAATCGTCGTCTTGAAGAGCTCCGGACATATTCTTTCTTCCATGAATTTTCCTGTCAAGAGAAGATCATGATGTGATTGGATTGGATGAGTTTATCTAATTCCTGAAGTCTACTAATTGCGTAGCCACAAATTTCGAAATCGAATATGATTCAAGTGATAGCGATAAATAGACTGAACAATCAGGAATCGGAACCAGAGGAAGAAGATCGTTCTAGAACAAAGTTAAGAAAGCTCACGCGGTGATGATGGAATCGACGAAGAGGAAACGACGGTTTGCAGTGGGAAAGTACAACGGCCATTGGAGGAGCACAAGCGTGAATGTGTGGCTCCCTCACAGTCACTCCTCAACTTATTAATGTCGTTGGTTAAACCGTGAATAAACACCCTTCGGAAAGTCAACATTTCCATCAACCCAGTTTTCGGTTTACTCGACTTATCAAGTTCTCGGTTTAAATTAATTTGGTTCGGTTCAGTTTTGGTCTCGATTCGGCTGTGAAATACGACATGAGCATTAATGCAAAGAACACTGATCTTACTCGTCTTTCTTAATAGATCATCCACGCCACTTTTTCTTCACAGCAAAACCGAGTTACTTAACACACACCATCTCTCGCAGAGATTACAGAACCAGAGATAGATATAGATAAGTCCCTGTTCTAAGCTCCAAATTTCTTATTCAGCGATTTATAAATATACAAAACGACTCAATATAGCGTGCGGCGGTTGAATGATTCCATGGTTAAATTGGCTGTAAATGCTGGAATCGAATTGAATTTCCTGATGAATATTTCTATCTGCAAGACACATACAGAGAGAATGATGAGATTTGTACAAGTTTCAATAAGAACATGCTTACATGTCATCAAGGAAATTGCACTTTACCTGCTTTGCTATCTCACCCTGAGAGATGTACTGATTCTCCTGGTAGAGTTTTATATCATTATCAGTTAATTAAACCAAGCTTTTTAAATGCTACAAGTTCAAAGTTGCAAGAATCACTTACTAGAATACTCGTGTTTCCTGACTCGTAATCAAATTCAAGCTTTTCATCATCGCTTTGAGCATATATTGACTGCAGAGTAAACCGAGTCACTGGGATTCCATTGGGACGATCATGTTCGTCCATTACAATCTGACAAGGAGTTATACACAAGGAATTCATAAGATGAACAAGAATGAAATGCTCAGCAAAGAAAGACCGTTGAGTGGTATGACATGGATATGATGAGGGATCATGTGGCGTACCTTATAACCGAACAGCTCACAACAAGCCCTTCTAAACACGGAAATTCTATCGGCGAAAACAGTTTTGTACCTATTGCATAGGCTCCAAATGCTTTAGCATGAGAAAACACAGGTCATAGTAGTTAAAATTTTATCAACAACATACCTCTCTTCACGTTTTTCTAGTGTAGCAATTTGTTCTTTTAGCTGAGCAATCTTTCCAGTTATATGAGAGTCAACTACTAGCTTCCCAGCATCTCCTGAATACAAATCGTCAGCAAAGTTTAGAAGAGTGCCGCAGAGAAACTAAGGCATGCAGCCCCAACGCCAAAAATCGACAATCAGAAATTTACCAGACTGACTCTTCAATTCTTCAACAGCTTGGAGTCTTTCTCTTGTCTTCTGCAACTCAGCCTGTAAAGCCTCGATTGTTTGTTTAGCCTCATTTTCGACACCAAGAGTATTTACCATCCGCAAAACCCTTGTATTTGCAGCAGAAAAATCACCATGACCCAGCTGCCAAATAATAAGGAAACCAAATATATGTGTTACTCCACCAAACTCTATAATTGGAAGTTAGAGCTCCTAAGTAGCATTTCTGGAAGGTAAGAGTTCCAACAGCTAATCAAAGAAAAGAGATATTGTTCAATTTCCTAGAAATGTCAAGAGTTAATCTTCAATAGTGTGCTACAACTAAGTACCCTTGACTCCAGCAAGGAGATCTCAGAGCGAAGACGATCGCTATCCCTCTCCAGAGACTTCATTCTCCTTGCTTCATTGACTAATTTATCATTTAGATGTTCTATTTCATCCCGTAGACGATTATTGACATCTTTCAGTTGACTTAGCTCCTTCTCCAACTCCTTAAGATAGTTCTCCTTCTTCGCAAGAGAAGATTCAAACCCCTGTAAATTAAAGCAAACTAAGAAATATGCTATAAACAAAATAAAAGTAAAAAAACACAAGGACACTGTTATTCTAAAACCTGAGTAAGCGTTCCATCCGTGGCGCCGGACACAGATCCTTCACTGTTGGACTTCCTTAATTCACTAACAACAGCTTTTAATTGTTCTTTCTCCTCTGTGACCAAAGAAAGCTGTCACAAAAAAGTTATAGATCTGTTAGCAAGAGTGTAACAAAAGATGTTTGCATCAAAGATGTCCCTGTCAAAATACTTGAGTTATTCTACTATGAATATAGACTCTAACTTCATAGCTTTATCAGCTTCTTATGAATGCACAAACCAGTTAAACTAGTATATATCCAAGCAAAGACAGTGACGCCTGGAGAAACTAAGAAAACAATCAAAACACCAGAATATTGAAAAATAAAATGATCAACACTAGAAGATGAAAATGCACTTGTGACCCTTTACACAGCAGACGCAATACAATTCAGTCTTACCATTACTTCAATCCTCTTCAAATCTGATTTGAGTGCCTCACATTTCTCTTTGGCAGATGCAACCTCAGTTTCAGCATTCTGCCTCCCAAGTTGTGCAGCATCCAGAGCCGCCTCGAGTTGATTAAAACGTGTGCTTGCTTCCCCAATCTTCATAGTGCTATCAAGCACCTCCCTTCAAAAAACAGATTCACAAGTCACTGGTAAATATCATAGATACAGGGGTTACCTCAGAGACTTTGGTAAACTAGAAATGTTTTACTTAGTTACTCTAGATGATTTCTCACAGGGCACACTAAACTGCTAATACTTGCACTAGCAAGCCCGAATATCTCTCAAATATAAAGCAACATCTGCACAAAGTGGTCTTACAAATGTCTATGATAATTAACCTCTAGTTCACCTAAGAGACCGGGACCACGGCCCCAGAACAACCATCTCAGTTCTCCGCACAGACTTCTTATATGGCAGGCATAGTAATTTGAAACAATATTAGAAGATAACTCTAGTGATAAGCTATATTCTGCTAAGACCATGTTGACATACTTCTGCAGCGCCGAGAGTTTCATAATTATGTCATCAGGACAGGATACACCAGGAATGTTGTTTAGCAAAGACTTCCAAGAGGACAATTCATCTTCCAACTTGTCCATGATCATCTGCAGTTCAGGCAACTTTAATAACTCTGATTCCGCCCTCTCTCTACGGCTTTTTTCTTCCAGTAATTTCACTTTCAATAGCTCAGCATCTAACTGCTGTGATTTAAACGTTTTAGCTTCCCTCACTTCAGCTTCCTGATACAATGACCAAGAATCAAATCTCGTCAAGAAAAACAATATGGAATCTAGCATAATCTCTCAGTGTGGTTTAAATCATATGGCAGCTCAGCAGAGTGAATCTTGTTAAAGAGCTATTAAGATTGGGATGGCTTAAATAGAGTTAGCAGCAGGAAAATTGTAATCACTGTGGAAATTTCTTGAGTTTGGGTTATGTCGTGAGTAGTTCTTACATGTTTATCAAGAACAAGAACAGCTTTCTATTGGTGAATAAAACAAAGGGTTTTTGACCAACGTTCTTATCACTTTCATACTCAATTTCAATAAATGATGGATCTGACAGAACAACTTTGTAAAATCATTGAACAGACAAACTAAGCACTTGACAAACTTACATAGTGCTTAAGTTCCTCCTGAAGATTTTTAACCAATACACTATTATCCGAAGGAGATGCTGCTTGAGAAATGAATGACGAAAGCTTCGTGTCTACTTCAGTTTTTTCGTGCAAACACTGCAAACAAAAAAACAAAAAAATCCACCAAAACAGTTGATAACTTATGACTTGTAAAATCATATTGAACATGCAAGTCAAATATAGCTTACCTCGTCAAATTTCTGTTTAAGATGCTCCAGCTGTGATCTTAAAATATCTGATTCCTTCTCTGCATTTTGTGCTCTGCATTGCATCCTTTCAAGCTAAAAGAAAACAAGAAAAGGTTAATTGATACTTATCTGCATGAAAAAACTCTTAAATTTTAGACACAGACATCTAGTTTCCTAATCGATACTTACATCAGCACCGATTCTAGATACAGAAAGCTTTGCTTCTTTACCCAAGTGAGCAATATCATTGTTGAGACGTTTCTTCTCCCTGTCCACACTTCCAGATAGCTGACTTAGTTTTTCCTCCAAAAGTTTAGCTTTTTCTTCTGCTGTTGCAGCAGAAGACTCGGCTTTCTTTCGAAGATTGGTTTCATTTTGAAGTTTTACCTGAAGGTAAAGGATTCTGTTAATGATAATGGCAGCAAAATAAGAAATTTTAGTAAAACTCATAAACAGATCAACAACCTCAAGTTCTTGGCATGATTGTAGCTTTGTGCTGTACCGCTCTTGAGAATTGTTGATCTCCACTAGAAGCTGCTCCTGAAGCATCTTTTCACGCCCTTTAGCAGCAGCAAGTTCTTGCTCTGAGTACAAAAACTTATCTCGAAACTGATTTCTCTCTGCGTCTGTTACAGTATAAGTAAACCAAATCCGTTACCGAAACCCAACTTTGCATTCAGAAACCAAGACCTTTCTAATTTCGAATTGAAAAAAAAAAAAAAAAACCCCAAACCTGCTTCGGTGAAACTCTCATTTAGAGTCTGCAATTTAGTCTGATACTCCTGAGCTTGTTTCTCTGCTTTGCTCAATGCATCTAGAACATCAGCTTTAACCTACAACACCCGATAAAAACCTTATCAAAATCAGTAAATTTGAAACGACAGATTATTCTCTGGGAGCTAGAAAGATCTACGAGTAAGAACCATTTGGCGGCATTGATAGGTACAAAGGTACTGATCGGAATGATCATGAGAAGTTGTTTGAAGGGGAGCAGGAAGAGGAGAATCTTCATAGATAATGAGGTTATTGCCGGAGCTAGCTGCGCCGGTGGGGGTGGGGCTGTTTCCGGCGTCGGACCGGAGCTTCTTCGCCGGTGGAGTCCTCAATATCATGTTGGTTTTCAACAGTTAGGGTTACGCGAAGAAATCTCTCTGATTTTGAAAAATCAAAGGCGCCACTTTCCTTTTGCCAAAAACCGACGAATTATGTGAGAGGAGGAGGAGGAAGCCAGACGGGTTTCGTCGTCGATGTTCGTGGAGAAGAAAAGCAGCAAAACCTGCAATATAGATTGGGCCGGGTCATTAGGTTTTGGGCCGTTTTCACATAATTTACGAAATTCAATATTCAAATTGGTAACCAAAATACAAAACCGAATTTAAACCGAACCGACTTAAACCAAATAATCACCATCTTCTTCCTCCCTGGTCTGATACAGTAACTATCTTTTAACAAGTAAAAATCAAGACGAAAAAGCCAAAGCTCCCGTCGTTGGCTGAATCGCTGGTTACCAACTCGATCATCTTCTTCTACCCACCGCCACTACCATCGCTTCCCTTCTTCTCAATCTTATCAACCTCCTCTAATTCTCAATCCTCCACCTCAGATCTGTTCTTAATTCTCCCCAACACTCCGGCTTTGTGATCTAGAAGACTAGAACCGCTGTAGATTTTTCGATGGCGGCGAAGACGGCCAGATCAAAAGCCACACCGACGAAAGAAAACGGCGTCAGAGTCGAGGAAGGCTTGAGTCTATTCAAGTCTGATAAATTCGATGCCGACGCTTATGTGCAATCCAAATGTTCTATCAACGAAAAGGTTTTTTTTCCTTTTCCCCTTTCTCTAGTTATTTCGTCTTTTTTAGGTCTGTGCTATGAGGACATTTTTTCGTAGATTTCGGATTATATTGCAGTATTCTTGTGCTAGCTCGATAACTATGGCCAACGAGATTTGGTTTACATATTTATTTTTCTGTTCACAGGATATAAAGCAGCTATCATCTTATCTATTGGATTTGAAGAGAGCTTCTGCTGAAGAAATGAGGCGAAGTGTATATGCTAATTATCCAGCCTTTATACGGTTAGCGAACATCCTGATTGTCTTTAGTGGTTGGTTGATTAATAGCGAATGAGTTCGTCTATGAAGTTGATGTGATTAAAGAGCTATACTTTTTCGAACGTTGTTTCGTTGTCATATGGGTTTTGGTGCAAGTGCATTCTGCAAATGATTCTTTGAGCATTGAGAATACTTGATTGCTTTTTCGTAGCCGTATGTTAATTTGAGCATTGAAAATGTCTTATGTTCTGTGCAGCACATCAAAAGAGATATCAGACTTGGAAGGGGAACTATCATCCATCAGAAATCTTCTCTCCACTCAGGCTACTCTAATCCATGGCTTAGCAGATGGAGTTAACATTGACGACGATAAAGTTTCTGATAAATCTGTCGCAAATGGCTTGTTGAGTTCTGAAGACAAGGACCTCTCTGATCTGGAAAAATGGGCTGCGGAGTATCCTGACCACCTCGACGCTTTGTTAGCTGAGAGAAGGGTAGATGAAGCTCTGGCAGCTTTTGATGAGGGAGAGACTTTAATATCTCAAGCAAATGAAAACCACACTTTAAGCTCCTCTCTGCTTTCGTCTCTTGAGTTTGCTATTGCCCAACGCAAGCAAAAGCTAGCTGACCAACTCGCCAGAGCTGCTTGTCAACCTTCGACTCGAGGTGGGGAGCTTCGGTCAGCCATAGCAGCTCTCAAAAGGCTTGGCGATGGTCCTCGAGCCCATACTGTGCTTCTTGATGCTCATTTCCAGAGATATCAGTACAACATGCAAACTCTTCGTCCGTCTAGCACCTCGTACGGAGGGGCCTACACTGCTGCACTTTCTCAGCTTGTGTTCTCGTCTATCTCTCAAGCTTCTAGCGACTCATTGGGAATCTTTGGGAGAGAGCCAGCGTATAGCTCTGAGCTTGTGACTTGGGCTACTAAGCAAACAGAGACGTTTTCCCTTCTTGTTAAAAGGCATGCATTAGCTTCTTCTGCAGCAGCTGGAGGACTAAGAGCCGCCGCAGAGTGTGCACAGATAGCCCTTGGCCATTGTTCTTTACTGGAAGCTCGTGGTTTGTCCCTCTGCCCAGTGCTGCTAAGGCACTTTAAGCCTATCGTGGAACAGGCACTGGAGGCGAATCTTAAGCGAATTGAGGAAAACACTGCAGCTATGGCTGCTGCAGATGATTGGGTGCTGACATATCCTCCTGCTGGTAGTCGTCATGCTAGTACAGCATTTCAGAATAAGCTTACATCCAGTGCCCACCGCTTTAATTTGATGGTCCAGGTAGGCAATCTTGTTCATAAACTCTATGCAGTACCATTTCTGTCGTAGCTGCTCTGATAGGCAAAGCACTGTATATTGGACTCTCATAAATTTTAGATATATTTGTTAATTTTGAAATGGTATTTTGTTGCAGGACTTCTTTGAGGACGTAGGACCTCTTCTAAGTATGCAGTTGGGAAGTAAAGCGCTGGAAGGTCTGTTTCGAGTGTTCAACTCATATGTAGATGTGCTGGTAAGAGCTCTTCCTGGTTCGATAGAAGAAGAAGATGTAAATTTCGAAGGTTTCGGTAACAAGATTGTCCAAATGGCTGAGACCGAGGCTCATCAACTTGCATTACTTGCAAATGCATCATTGCTAGCAGATGAATTGCTTCCACGTGCTGCCATGAAACTCGCTCCTCTTGATCAGGCTAGTCAAAGGACAGACGAGCCAAGGAGACCTTCAGACAGACAAAATCGTAACCCTGAACAACGAGAATGGAAGAGGCGTTTACTTGCTACTGTTGACAAGTTAAAAGATGCGTTTTGTCGCCAGCATGCGTTGGATCTCATTTTTACCGAGGAAGGAGATAGCCATTTGTCTGCAGATATGTACATAAACATGGATGAAAATGGAGATGATGTGGAGTGGTTTCCATCTTTGATATTCCAGGTAGTTATTATTTCATCTCCTCCAGTCCATTTTAGCCTTTGCCTAGATTTCGTAGTCACTTGGGAACTCTTATTGGCTGCTCCATTGTTGTCTAGTTGAATTGTATGAGATTAATCATTGTCTATCTAACCACTTCAAGAGCATGTATTTCCTTTTTCATTTTCAGCTTAATATTCTTATACTTTGTGTGTTACTTGGTTGGAAAAACAGGAACTTTTTGCCAAACTGAACAGGATGGCAAGCCTAGCAGCAGATATGTTTGTAGGAAGAGAAAGATTTGCTACATCGTTGCTGATGCGATTAACAGAGACTGTGATCTTATGGCTATCCGGAGACCAGAGCTTTTGGGATGACATTGAGGAAGGTCCTAAACCTTTGGGACCTCTTGGCCTACGGCAGGTTTGTAAACTCGTTCTTGCTTCTGTATTTGCGAGCATCAAACCTGTTATTATGTACTCTTTTTTTCTTAACAAGCCTTCTTCATCTGTTGCAGCTGTATTTGGACATGAAGTTTGTGATATGCTTTGCATCCCAAGGTCGTTACCTATCGAGGAATTTGCACAGGGGCACTAACGAGATCATATCTAAAGCCTTAGCAGCTTTCACTGCAACAGGACTTGATCCGTATAGGTATGTCGGTTGTATATTGCTACGTTTTAGCTTTGTTTTTTTTTTTATGAATAGTATAAACGGGTGATTAAACGTGGTTGTGAATGATGTGCAGTGAGCTGCCAGAAGACGACTGGTTCAACGAGATATGTGTGGATGCAATGGAAAGATTGAGCGGTAAAGCTAAAGGAAACAATGGGGAAGTCCATAGCCCGACTGCTTCGGTTTCAGCTCAGTCTGTTTCGTCGGCGAGATCTCATGGCAGCTATTGATTGATTCACACCGCATCTTACTTACATTTGTAAAGAAGGTGAGTGGGTAATGACTTTTGATCTTCTCTTCTCAGCTCTGTTTTTTTGCTTTTGTAGAGTGTACAATTAATTATCGATGATTTGTGGGGTGTGTAAATGTGGTTAAGTTGAATATGTTATTTTTTTTTATGGATGCATTATTTGGGAATTGGGACAAGAATTCAAGAGAATGTTGATCTTTATAGTTCTGTGTCACGCTCTTTTTCTTTTGGTAAATGGATTTGATGTAGCAAAAGTTGAAAAGCGATGTATCTTACTTAAGCTTTGTTTCTTTGTCTCTGTTTGGTGATCTCTCCGACAGTAGAAAAAGGGAAAGATTCTTTTCACCATTCCCATTATTACAGTCTTGATGAACATCTTAAAGTAGTTTTTTTCTGAAGGACAAAGAGAGAAACTACGTTTTTACTCATTGTTTTGCTCTACATTGCTGACACAATACATGTTATGTATATGAAATCCAATAAATAATCCAGGATGGAAATGTGGAAGCCTTTATACAAAAGACTTTATTTATCTAGAAAACCGTGGAACATGATTTTAACCCATCTTCTTTCCTCTGTCTTCATTTTTCTTCTAACTCCCCACCAAATCTTGTTATCAACTTATCACAAACAAAATTTAATCATAACTAATAAATCACCAAAAAAATATCATTATCAGGGTGCAAAAGTGAAAAATAAAAACTTTTGAATGTATTTTCAATTTAGGTTATCTTCCGACAAAAAGAAGGTAGTTTGATCAAATAGACACAAATACTATACATAAATTAAAATTTTGGAATTTTGTGGAATTTCAGATAAATAACTAAAATTTTGGTAAATATGGAGCTGAATCTGTGTCAGTCGTCAAAGGAAGGTAACAACAACAAGTGGAAAACAACACAGCTGGTTTGATTTCGCTCTTCCTCGTTTCCTCCGTCACAGAGACTCTTCTTCCTCCTTCCTCCTCCATTAAAGCCCTTTTCTTCGATTCTTCAGAAGCCTTCACAAACAATGCCGAGCGTAAAGCTCAAACATTCTTCATCTGACACCCTTTCCTCCTCCTCCGCCGACTCCGTCCGCCTCCTTTCCCGCGAAACCCTCCGCATCAGCGCCTCTCTCGCCTCCCCTCCCGATGATCTCCTTCCTCCACCCCCACAATCTCTCCCCGACTCTCACTTTCTCCAATCGACTCTGAAACTGATCTGCTGCGAGGAAATCGACGGCCGGAGATGGAAATACGTCGCCGAGAGCGATGGCTCTGGGAGATTCAAGAGGAATTCCGTCCGTGCTATAAGCTTGGAGTCTCCTCAGACTCCTTTTGATGTATGAATTGCTTTTTCTCTTGCTGATGGGTTTATGAATTTGAAGGAAACGTATTCAATTTTTTTGTCATTTTGCAGGAAGTTGGTTCGTTTCTCAGATCTTACGTTGTACCTGAAGGATTTCCAGCGAGTGTTAATGAGTCTTATGTTCCTTACATGACATTTAGAGCTTTGAAGGTATATATGAATGGCTCTTCATCTTATGTTTTAGTGTATTGAAATTGAATATTTGTTAATTTGCCATTGTTGAAGCATTTCTTTGGTGGAGCCATGGGTGTGTTTACAACTCAAACACTTTTGAATTCAGTTGGAGCCTCAAGGAACAGTTCTGCTTCTGCTGCTGTTGCCATCAATTGGATTCTCAAGGTTTAACTTTCTCTTAAGAATCTGTTGCATATGTGTTTCTTCAATTACCATTACACCTGGAAAAGTTTATATCTTGAAGTGTTGTACAAGTATACAAAAGCTTCCCATGGCTCATTGTTGAATTATCATATAAATATGTTACAGGATGGTGCGGGGCGTGTTGGCAAAATGCTTTTCGCGCGGCAGGGAAAGAAATTTGATTATGATCTGAAGCAGGTACTTACTCGGAAAACTTAACAAATTTCCATTGGTCTGACTCTCGTTTTCTTGACTTGCTTTTGGTTTTACAGTTACGGTTTGCTGGTGATCTTTTAATGGAGCTTGGTGCTGGTGTAGAGTTGGCGACTGCTGCAGTTCCACACCTTTTTCTTCCACTGGCTTGTGCTGCTAATGTTGTTAAGGTATTTGTCATCATCACTCGTAATCGCTCTGTGCTTCAGAACTATCCCTTTGACTTGCTATGTATCGTTTATGATCAGATTCATTGGTTAGTATCTTACATTGTTGTATTACAGAATGTTGCAGCTGTAACATCGACTTCTACTCGAACACCAATCTATAAAGCCTTTGCTAAAGGAGAGAACATAGGAGATGTCACCGCTAAAGGAGAGTGTGTTGGTAATATTGCAGATCTGGTATGCCCCTTTCTTGCATTACTTCTCATTATTTATAGGTGGTTTTAGAGATGACGTTGCTACTTGTAGCTAGTGGGTCTCACTCTCACAATAGATTATGTTTCATGGTGTTGAGTGCGTATTGTATCATGTTTTTCAAGATAGAGGTTATTGATCTTCTTCTTGGGTTCTAAAATTGTGAACTTTTTGTTTTCTATGAAGATGGGAACTGGGTTTAGTATCTTGATATCCAAAAGAAATCCTTCGTTGGTCACAACCTTTGGTCTTCTATCATGTGGCTATCTCTTGAGCTCATACCAAGAGGTAAAAACGCAGCTCTGCTTCAATTATATCTGTTTTAATGCACTTCGTGGTTTGTGGACTTTTTTCGAAAGCGTGGCGGGTTCTTCTTTCAGGTTAGGTCTGTAGTATTGCATACACTAAACCGTGCAAGATTTACAGTAGCAGTGGAGTCTTTTCTCAAGACAGGTAAGCTATGATGTTATTTTCAGCATGCACATGAGTGTCCCAAACTCTTTTGAGGTTAACAACTTGACAGATTAAACTTTCCATCTATCTTCAGGGCGGGTTCCCTCATTGCAGGAAGGTAATATCCAAGAAAAGATATTCACTTTTCCATGGGTGGAGGATCGTCCAGTGATGCTTGGTACGCTTCATATAGCATTTCATAGAAGCTATGTTCTTTGTTTCTCTCTCTCTTACCTCATTGAAATGGCAGGAGCAAGATTTAAGGATGCATTCCAAGACCCCACCACATATCTTGCAGTAAAACCTTTTTTCGACGTATGCCATTTTTCTCCCTTATGTCAAAACATCAAGCTCTGGACTTTTTTTATCTCCATATTTGACTCTACTCTCTCACTCTACTTATTGCAGAAAGAAAGATACATGGTGACATACAGCCCCACCAAGGGCAAAGTATATGCACTTCTCAAGAATCAGGCAAACTCAGATGACATTCTCAAAGCGGCATTTCATGTACAATGATTTTTCAATCCTGTCATATATCTCTCTAATTCTGTAGAGATGAATCAATTATAGCCTAAAGTTTCTGGTTCGGTTTCATGATAACATCACAGGCACATGTGCTTCTTCATTTCATGAATCAATCGAAAGTCGGTACCTTAAAATCAGTGGAACAACCGGATCCTGATTTTGCTCCTGTGGTACATGAGCTCGAGTCTCGAATCGCTGAGTCGTGTGAAATGGTTTCTACCTCATATGGCGTATTCAAAAGCAGGGCTGCAGAGCAGGTAACTTTGCAGAAATCTGTGTATATCATATGGTTTCGTTATGTATACAAATGATGATTTGGTAAGATGGTAAAGGAGTTTCCACTTTTGCTAGGGTTGCAGAATGTCAGAATCTCTGCTTAATCCTGGACGGGCTAGGTTATGTAATGCGCATGAAGAGGTGGAGTAAACTATTATATGCTCTGATAATAAATTTCACTTCACACTATAAATTTTGTTGTCGTTGGTTCCATGAGGAAAAGAAAAAGAAATAGGTTTTGGTTGATACACGTTTAATTAACCATGCTGTAAAAATAGAATGATAATATTGTATCTAGCATTTGTAATTTAACAGATGAACCTTCTTTGTGTACCATTTCTCACAACGTTGTCATACACAGAGAGATATCACTATGCAAATGTGTTGGTTGAGGTGTAGACTAAAACATTATGTCTAGGTTTTGTGCATTTTGGCTGTATGAATATCGGATACGACTTAGCGTAATCATTTGGAGGATGGGATGAGTATATTCTTTCGATGACCTTTTTGTTTTAAATTGGGATATTCATGAGTGACTTTAAAATGGATATCATGCGTTTGTTTTGGGGTATATTAATATGAAAATCAGTCAACAGTTTCTTTTAAATTATGCAGAAAAAAAAAACGTAAAGGATTGTGTTCTATTCTCCATAATCGGATTTGCAGTCACCACGTGAAAAGCAGCAATGGCTGTCCAAGTCTAGACCCGAGGAAACGGACATTACTGATTCCGATGATGTCTTTTGTTTTTCTAGAGTTTTTTTGTACTAGTTATTTCATATAGGTAGATTTTATGATTGTTATACGTTTCGTACCTTCTTCATTAATTTGATAATATCACGATATCTATCACACATCTATCTATCTTATAATATATTAAAGACCATATCCTATAATATATTAAAGACCATGCATTTTTGCTGCCATGTCAAACTCACAATTTTTTAGAGTATTTTTGAATTATTTAATTAAACTATTTGCCAAAGGACGCGGATCCCATAAACATCCGAATTCATTAAAAAAAAACCCGATGCCAAGGATCCATGTATAATACGTCGACTGCTTTAATTGGTAATTCTATTATGGGCTTCTCCATTTAGTCCATTGTATACACGTTTGATACGTTGATGTTTGCTTTAGTTAAAAAATATTTAATCTTGAATACAAATGTGGGGAATCGTCGTCGACTGGATTGGGGAAGTATATCTTCCGTCTTAATTGCCTGTTAACAAGGAGAGTTAATTGCAGAATATTTTTCGGATGTATTATGGCTGATTTTGCGTAGCTGTTAATTAAAAATCAACTTCTACTTCATCTCAAAGCTAAGAATATTCGCAAATTAAACTCGAATTTATTCAGTAATTATTAACTTACCTCATCAAAAGTCGGAGTTTCTAAATCAAAGATTGTGCTAGATTTAACCTACTGGGGGTCGACTAAGGTTGTAACACCCCTATATAAACAATTGTTATCCACCTTCTTTCATTCACGGAGCAAACTAAAATTCTTCTGTAAGATTTTGAAACTAGATAATGTCGATGGCTGGTATCGAGAAATCCATACATATAGTTTACTTCAAGCATTTAAGTTCTGATATAAACGTCTTCTCATGAAGACCATCTCTGAAAGTGTTTTAGTGTTCCTAGAATACTATAGGTTTCTGTTTTGGATCTGAGGAAGGTTTGTGAAAATGCGCCAACCTTCTGTGGCAAATAAGGATGGAAGGCATTATTCTACGGTGACCAGAGTTTTGGCTGCGTAGCACGTGGAAATAAAAGATCGACGTGGAATTTCATGGTGATAACTGGTCATCATCGAGATTATGATTATATTGATGGTGATAGTTATCGTAATCAACATTCATATTCATGAAGGTTGAAGGTCGTTTTAAAATTAGATTGTCATGGTTGTAGCTGTGGTGGTGGTCTTATTGTTGATTGGTGGGGCTGATGCTGAGAAGAGGAAGGGTTTCACGGAGAGTAGGAGAAGGAGGCATTGGTGGCGGCTGTGACGGCGGATGTGAGGGAAGAAGAAGAAGGAGAAAGGAGGAATATTAAAGTCACAAACTTTGTTATGCGATTAAGAATTTTTTTTTTTTTTTTCGATTAAGAATTTTTGGATAAAAACGTCACTAACTTTGGATATTTTAATTTCAGATTTCTGTAGAAAATCTTCTTCTGAAAAAGTTAAAACAGCATTTTTTATTATTATTATATATATATATATATTTGTTGTTCTTATATAATACTGGTGTAGCAATATATCCATACGACAATACCTACCATTAAATTGCTTTGTTGAACATTACGATTGATTTCATATATTTGCTATCTTTATTGGTTTACTTAAAATTCATTCAATTATTTGTGATTTTTGTTTAATATTAAATATGTTACTTATTCATAATTTGATATGCGATTAATATTTTCATTTTTTGTGTTAAGATTTGTTTTGGTCACACCTAATTTTATTGAATATTTATCATTTCAATGCAAAATTCTGACGAAATACCTGGGTGGAAATTTTGTAGATTCGTATTTTTGAACATAATACCTGGGTGGAAATTTTGTAGATTCATATTTTTGAGAATCATATTTTTGCGTGAATGTTTTGAAATCATATTTTTTGAGAAAAGAATAATTTGGAATCAGTCTTGCAAAAAAGTCACTCGCAAATCGGATTTTATTTGGCGTGAACTTTGTAGAATTGTTTGTTTTTTTGTTTAAATCATATTTTAAACAAAATTTTAGGATCAAAATTTGTGTTCGTAATTTTGGTAGAGAATTTGAGGATTCTTATTTTTAGATAAAATATTTAGAATAAGGGTAAATTTGAGAAATTTGTAATTCTATGTTACACAAACTAATTGCAGAAATTTTATTGACTCACATTTATGGAGGAAAATTTGTTAATTGGATTTTTTTGACGTGAGCATTGCGGAATAGTTTGTCTTAGAAATTTTTTTCTAAACATTTGAAAATAACTTTTCGACTTTAAATATGTTTTCGGGAAATTTACATATTTAAATTATGGTGAAAATTAGCATAATTATATTTTGCATTAAAACTTAAAAATGTTTTTTTCGTACATATATTTTAAGTGCAATATGTAGTGAAAATTGCTATTTTCTTTCTTAATATAAATTTTAATGAAGGTTTAATTACCTTGACTAAATTTTATTAGCAATATTTATAAAGGTTTTTTAGATTTAGTTAAACTATAATCTTTTGAACAAATCACATAATTAATGTATTTTGAAAATAGAAAACAACTTACATATAATAATACACATAAATAATAACCAAATATCTATCTATTATTCCAAAAAAAACTACAATATTACTAATCGAGACAACATGTTTATTATTATATTAAAAATATTGATATGGATTGATAAAAAAAAAATATATATATTAATCTAAAAAAATATAGAAAATGACATATCTATTCAATAATAATCTATTTTAATATGAAAAAATTTAAAGTTAGCTTTATCCCACGCATCATGCGTGGGCAATCCCCTAGTATATATATAAAGTTCATATCATTTTATTCTCGTGCTGCCATCTCACCAGAAGAGGGTGTCTATAAATTCAGCATATTTTTTTTTTTCTTTTTTTTTTAAATTTTTTATAATAATTATCATTTATTACTATAGTAACTTAATAAAAATATGAAAAATCATTTAAAAAAACATTTTAAAACTTGAGAATTGGGGAATTTTGTTTACTTCCTATTATATTAAGTGACGAGACAAGATCTAAAAGAATAGAAAAGAAATACATCAATTCCACCTACCTCTAAATATAATAATTATATTTAGGGGCAGAACGGAAACAACAAAAAAACATGATGAGAGAGGACAAGACATAAAAGTTGAACGGGACATAACATAACGGGATGGGAAGAGACGGGACATGAATTTTGTCTACCCCTAATTATATTTAGAGACGAGACAGACATAAGATAAACATGACAAAACGAACGGGATGAGAAAGAACATGACAAGATGAAAGGAACGGAATGAGACAGAATTATATCTACCCCTAATTATATTAAGGAACAAGACAATAATAAACAAAATGGAAAGACCCAAAATGGGATAGGATAGGACTGAACGAGACGGAACATACATGACAAACGGGACGGGAAAGAACATACAAGATGAAAATGAACAAAATGGGACAAGATGGAACAAGATGGTACCAAAAATTTGCCTAACTCTAATTATATTTAAGTAATATGTTTATAATATCTTTGAAACAATATTAAATTTGCGGAAAAACAATAAAACTAACACAACCTGCGCGTAGCGCGGATCACCCCCTAGTACTATTATAAAACTTGACGTGTTGACCCCCTGACTTTTCTGACGAGAATACAAGCACATAAATTGAATACTTTGATTTGAAAATACAACTTTTATAAAATCTAAATTATGGAAAATAATCTTCAAATAAAGTTATGCTAAAAACAATAAGATATTATTTCATAAATGCTAAAGCATAACTAGGCAAGAAAATCATTCGTTACCTATAATATAAGAATTGTTTTTCAAAAATTTGCTTCCTTTTCTAAAAACTTTTGACTAGAAAATATTTTCTACATATGCCGTGTTATTATATATATAACTATTCATCCAGCCAAAATGAAAACATCTAAAACTAATCTAAGAAAATAACACAGAAATGACTATCACAAAGAAAATGTTGATCGCACTTTTTCTGAGCTTTTTTTTGGCTATATCTTATGTCAAATGTTCTGCTGAGAGTATTGGTACTAGCTTATTATTATAATCTCTATTTTATTTTGTTATTTTGAACATAATTTTTTTTTGTTTTATGTGAATATGCATAATAGGTTATTAATTTTTGTGAAATAGGGTCTGGAAAATGGAGCGACTATTGGCAGATATGTTACAACAAAAATCAGTGGCAAGGGATGACTTGCAAGGCGTTATGTCTGAAAACTTTAGAAGGATCGGTAACCGGTGAACTTGTTACGGAACACAGATGTTGTTGTAGAAATTATAATAATTTTTTATAAAAAAATTATTATCTTATAATAATAATAATAATAATAATAATAATAATAATATTTTTCTATAGTTGTGAGTGTAAAACCAAAATCATACTAAATTGTATTCAGTTTCATATTACTGAAGCAAATTTGGTGGCAATCCTAACAAAATATTAAACAAAGTACAAGAAAGATTCTGGTTTAGTCGGAGTAACAGCGAGTGATTTTATTCTTCCAACTTGCAAATGTTGTTGTAGAAACTCTTATATCTTATCTAATATTTGTATCTGCTAGAAACATAATTATCATACTATAGTTACAATTATAAAACCGAGAACGTTACAATATATATAAATCATACAGTAGTAAATTGTGTTGGATTTGATTTTACTTGAGCGAATTGTATTCCTTGGAATATCAGAGAATCTTATCAGTAAAGTCACTCGTGGATTGTTCAATCTTGGAGAAACTTAAGATGAAGATGACTCTAGCTCTGTTTGAATACAATAGAGAGCCTTTTTGGGTGCTCCGTTCATAACTTTGTTAATTTAAATGATTTTTTTTGTGCATATATATATCCCCCATTCCCCAAAACATCGTGAAAAAAAAACAAAAGAACGTAAAAGACCAATGGGACGAGTTTGCTAAAGACTTGAAAGTGGCGGATCTTCTGCTACCACAGTCAAGAGGATGTGGTGTTGAGTCAGGTTTTACCAAACTCCTAGACCTCTGCAAGTGCACAGATCGCGGAAGTATGGGTATCGAACACAAGGACTGGCTATTGAGTACACTTTGAAACTATGGATTTTGGATCAAGCTAAAACAAAAGTATGATTGAGGTTGTAATGGTGAACCGAACTAGCAAGTAAACGAGGTTGTAAATCAATAAGGAAAAGCGCTAGGTCACAGGGGCTAATCGCAGAGAAGCAAGCAATGATCAATGAAACAATGATAGATGAATTGATTAGGGATATTGGGATATTAAGAACCGTCTAGAACACAGATCACGAATATAAAACCATTCCACTTTCGAGGCTCCGGCTCCTTTGTTAATCTACCTAGTCGCTAAACTTTTGGTATGTCCCTAGGTGATTAAATCAAGCTTTAGAATGAATAGGTTCTGATACAGTTCACTAGATTATAGTAGATCAACTTTCGCAGTCTAAGAAACCTAGCTTGTCAAAGAATATGTCCGGCGAATGATACAACACTGTCGAGGCTCAAATCAACCTAAGATCGGATTACTAGATGCGCGGTAAAGCAATCAGCATTAGTTAAGTGCACAAGACGAGACAAAGACTCTATATAATCCCTAGCTAATCATCGAAATCAAAGATCATGCAAGCAACTCATTGAATAGTAACCCTAGCAACCTAACTAGTGGATTACTCAGACATGATCAAAGCAAACACACATAGAGATGAAGAAAACATGATTGCAATAAAACTTAGAGTAGGAAATCGAAATACAAGGGCGGCTCTCTTCTCAAGAGGCTAAAAAGTATATATATAGTGCTAGGTCTTCAGAGGCGGCTTAGGGTTAAGCCGGGCTTGAAAATGTGAAACGGGCTTCAAAACGGGCTTCGGGTCGACCGCGGCGTTCGGACGGTCGGTCGGGACGATCGGCCGGACATCGGTCGTGTCGGCCATCGTCGGTCGAACGGTCGTGGCCGGATGTTCGTGGTCGGCCGCGTGGTCGGACGGATGATGATTTGGCCGATGAAACTTGGCCGGACGGGACGTGCTTCCTGTCGGCGGATGGTCGGCCGTGGTACGGGTTGCGCGGCCGCGAGGCTTTGCTTCCCGGCTCGCGCGCGCGGTCGTGCGCGGCTTGTGGTGGCGAGCTGGAACGGCCGACCGCGGGACTTGCTTTCCCGGGTCGTGACGTGAGCTCGGCCGTGGACTTGGCCGAGATGCGGACGTGCGCTGGCCGATCGCGGAGTTCGTTCCCTCGGCCGGTGTGCGCGGCTAGGATTCTCGATAGAGCCGTCTGGACAGTCTTCACTCTTTTGTAACTCCTTTTCTACTCATCCAAATGAGGCCGTTCCAGTTGCGTTGGAAAGTTAACTCAATCAGAGCACGCAGGGAACTGGTCTTGATGAAATCCATTGAGTAGATCTTTTTCTGGGCCCTCTTAAAGTTGATGCTTGTGCATGGAGCGGCTTGAAGTGCAAATCCTATGGTTTTGCTCCAAAATGCATCATTTCACCTGTTTAGACTCTAGACACTATAAACACAGTAAAACTACCTTTTTAGATAGAAAACCTGCCAAAAACCATTAGAAAACAATGCTAAAACAGTATAAAAAGCATGTAAAATAGAGGTATATCAACTCCCCCAGACTTAGATCTTTGCTTGTCCCCAAGCAAAAAGAATCTAAATCCGTGAAAGAGGTTTGAAAACGTGGAAACTCCCTTGCTCTTTTGAATATCCTGTGAAAGGTTCCTTTCCTGTATTCCACTAAGAACATAGACAACATAAGGTTAGCTTCACATACACCCTGCAAGTTTAGCGAACAATACCAACCCAACTAGTCTCATCCAGCAATCCAAACTCTCTATTGCTAACCTCTTGCATAAATTTAAAGCGTGAATTCTTTATCAAGGGACATCGATCAATTGAACTTGTTCTTACCCACTTGATCTCTCCAAGATTGTCTTTAAGTGCAATGAGTTCTTTTCCTCTCTCTTTCTCACATCAGAACTTTGAAAGGTCAATTTCTCCCTACTTTTCTAGGGTATCATTTTATTTTTTCTATTGACCCTTCTTTCAACCACAGGATAAGTCTTTAGCTTGTTCCTTGTTTGACTAAGGTATTCCATAAGACATGAAGGTACAGACATATGCATTCCTCATGCTTACTTGTTTTCCTTGTGCTCTTTGAGCTTTTTCTCATAACATTACCATTTGGGATGGGAGAGAGAGGAGAACTCTTTAAAGATTAGACAAATCTTATTGAAAATCAAGCAAGGAACTGTCGACATGTATGCCAACCCCCTTGACAAGAGTATTAAGATTGATTAAGGTGAGGTTAACTCTAGATTGCTTGGTTACCTTAGAAATTTTGCTGAGCTAGCATGTCGATCCACTGTAAGAGCTTCTGTTAGGCTTGTGCCTTTAGCTGGTTTCTGCTCTAGGGTCATGGATTGTTAGCACAACACTCTCAATTCTCAAAGCAAGTTCATAACTTCCGGACTGGTTTTTGACTCAATAAAACTTTTTGAAAAACATGAAACAAAGTGAATAAAACATAAGAAAAGAAAGAAAAATGCATTAGTAACACAATAAAACTCCCCCCAGACTTAACTTGCACCGTCCCGGTGAAAGCAAATCACATTAAGGTGAGAGGTAATATTCAAAGTAAAAGAAAAATAAAAAGAAATTCATTAAAATGAGATAGGGATAGAAAATGGAGATTTGTAAGTGTCCATTGCACTAAGTACCACTTGAGATGACTATGTGTGGCAGTGAGAAGAACTCTCTTCCTCATCTATGGGGTCATCGCCTTCTGAACCAAGCTCTGAGTCTAGTGAGAACTCACCAAGGTCAGGCTCATATGGCTCTCTAGCGGTGGAAGAAGGGCGAAAGAGTCTCTCCGGTGCAATGTGGCGAACTACGAACTAGGCGTGAGATGAAGCGAGATTGGCATTCCACTATCTTCTCCAGCTTGTTAACACGGTCTAGAGCTTGGTCGCGGCCATGCCAGTAGTGAGAACATGGCGTTCTTGGTGGCGGCGTTGAGTCTTGACTGCATGCTGAAGTGTGCGATAGGTGAGCATGGGGAATGATGGTTTCTCACTTGATGGAACATAGAAGTCTTCCTCCTTGGGCTGGAAAGTGACAACACCTGAGCGTAGGCTTGGGATGTCTCATGTGGCAGCAAGACAAGGGAAGTGTTGGCTGGACCAATTGGAAACTCATAGCAAAACCGAGTTGGGTCTTTAGTCCAACGGTTTAGGAAGTGGATGTGCTGAAGAGCATGGAGATCCAAAGGGGTTGGCTTGGGTAGTGGCTCATAGTTGGGAATGTCAATCCCCACATGTTGCACTATGGCCGTGATAAGCCTCCCAAAACGAACACAAAGCTTCTTGTTGCCTTCCAAGTCTTGAGCTAGCTTCCTCACATTGATGAATGTCTTGGCAAGTAAAAGTCCAAGGTTGGCCTTGTACTCATGCTTGATGAATGGTGTGGTGAGGATGTAGAACTCATCAGTTGTGACCTTGTTGGCTTCTTGTTTGCATTGGAAAGTGGTGGAGATGAGGCGGTGCACATAGCGAATGGCTGGATGAGTGATTCTAGACACCTTTGATCTTGAAGGCAAGAATGGTTCATTGGCAAAGTGTGTCCAATCAGCAAAGGCAGCTTGTTTCCTCTTTGAGTTCTCCTTGAAGTCATGTGCTGTCTCATTGGGAAGTCCAAAGAGTTGGCATAGAGCTGAGATGGAGATGCGCCCATTGGCATCGCCTATCTTGAAGAGTAGGAGTCCATCACCAGCTGGTTGGTCTCCATTGTGGTTGGGAAAGGCAAGAGCTACTGTGGAGAGGAACTCCTTGGTGAGTTGTGAGTACTCACTACACTCTAGCTTGAAGAGCTTGCTCAAGCCTAGCTTCCTTATGTACCATGTGACATCATCTCTTATCTTGAGAAGGTCAAGGGTTTGGGTGTCCATCTTCACACAAGGTTCGATGTTCACCTTCTCCATTGCCTTCTTTACTTTCTTGGGTCTTGGATTTGTTCTCCAACAAAGCTTACAAGTGCCCAATCATCTCTCTCTTCTTGGACTCTCCACATGTTCTTGACTTGCATCAATGGAATGTGGTGAAGTTGGTATTGCTGCTCTTGCATTGGAGCTACTACTCCCTAGCTTGATTTGTTTCTTGGTGGTTGCATGAATGGGTTCTTCTTCTTCTTCATACTCTCATTTCCTTTTGTCTTTGCCATTGGGTACCTACAAGAGCAAATTCTTGGGAAGAGACATGAGTTTGTGATTGAATGTATAAGAAAGATAAACAACAAAATTTTGCAAACAAAGCTTTTAAAGCTTTTTCTAATGGAGTTTAGGGTTTTGGAGAAGAAAGAGAGGTTCTTGTTTTTCAAGGGAAAGGTAAAGTTATAAAGCTAAATCCTATTAATTTTCCTTTTCAAATTCGAATTTTGATTGAAAATCGGTTTAAGTTGGATTGGTTAAAACCGGTTTGAATTAATGAAAAGGGGACTTACCTTGGCCGAGAAAAGTTTGGGCCGATGGCCGATGGATTTTGTCGCGTCGTGCGATTTGGTCGGCCAAATCGCGACGAGAGAATCGGCCGAGGCCGAACGTTTGTTTCCCGGATCGACCGGCACGGTCGGTCCGTTCCGATACAAATTCCGGCCGAGCGCGGCCTTTCCCTTCTGTCCGTGCGTACTGCGCGGACGGTTTTGTCGCATAAGTGTCCGGCCGAGCATGAGCCGTTCCTTCCCGGCTCGACCGGACGGTCGGCCGATGGAAATTGCTCGGCCAAAACATCTTTTGCGCGTCCGCGGCCAATGTTTCGCGGATTGTGTTTTCACACCTTTTTCTCCTTCTATCCTATCTTAAAACAAAGAAAACACAAAAGCAAAACAAAAACTAAGAAAATTAAAGAAAGAAAAGTAAAAGTACCTCATGGGTTGCCTCCCATGCAGCGCTTGTTTTAAGTCTTTAGCTTGACTGTAAGGCTTGGCGCTCAGGAGAAGATGGAGACAAGAGGCATCCTTGATCCTCCAAGTCTTTTCTCCTTGCAATGAGTATCTGGTGGGTGATTCACAGCTGGATAGACAATCTCTCCATGAATGTCCCTTGGCACACTGCCTTAGGAAAAAGCTTTAGAGTTCTTGTCACTTTCTCCTTGAATCCTTCTAGATTCTCATCAATAAGCTCCTTTGGGAATAGAAGCTTCATGTTGCGGCCAGACCTAGGCTTTCTAACCTTCCTTCTTGGCTTGGCCTCATCTTCAATCTTGGTTGATCCCTTGGGCGGTTTTGGTGTAGGGGCCTTAGTCTTACTCCTTGCTTGTTTGGCAAGCTGCTTGGGCTTAGGAATGGGATCTTCCTTGATTGTTCTTCAGTTTCTCCTTCTTGGGGTGGCTTCAAAGTAGCTTTCTCCTCTTGGACCATGTCAACAAAAGAGTTCTTTGTTGAACACATAGGGAAGAACATACCCTTGTTCACCTTGTTGAAAGAGATTCTTTGATTGGGGAAATCAAATATGGCACCCACAGTAGACAGGAAAGGGGTTCCAAATATGAGAGGTCTATGGCTACTCTCTCTCATTTCCACAATCTGGAAATCGGTAGGGATAGAGCAATTTCCAATCTGCACCATCACATTAGGCACAAAGCCATAGGGTTTGTGAGAATGAATCAGCATAGTTGATGGAGATGGATGATGGCTATCTTGGTGAGGCCTATCTTGTCAGCTATCCTCTTAGACATGATGTTCACATTGGCTCCTGTGTCACACAAAGATTGCTCAAGAATGTTACCTTTGATGATACAAGGCACAGCAAACTTTCCTGAGTTATCTGTCTTGGGGATAATCTTTGGGAAGAGTCTTCTCTTTCTAGCTCGATTGGACTCTCTCTCTGGGTAATTCTCTTCAGGCCAAATCATGCAATCAACAGTAGGTTTTGAAAGCATCCATTCTGGAACTTGGTCTTCAAATCTTTCTTCTATGGCGGCTGAGTTGCAAAAGGACTTCTTGGATTCAGCTTCCTGTCTCTTAACAGCTTCCATAGTTTGAGTGACTTGAGTCTCTAGTTTCTTCACATGAGTGGCAACAGCATCATACTTGGTGTTGAGATTGCTGAACAAAGTGTCCATCTTCTCATACATCTCTTTGCTATTCTCTTCTGGCCATCCATGATCTGTTGGAGGATTCCTTCAAACCTTCCTCCTTGAGTCAGGTTTTACCAAACTCTTAGACCTCTGCAAGTGCACAGATCGCGGAAGTATGGGTATCGAACACAAGGACTGGCTATTGAGTACACTTTGAAACTATAGATTTTGGATCAAGCTAAAACAAAAGTATGATTGGAGGTTGTAATAGTGAACAGAACTAGCAAATAAACGAGGTTGTAAATCAATAAGGAAGAAGCGCTAGGTCAACAGGGGCTAATCGCAGAGAAGCAAGCAATGATCAATGAAACAATGATAGATGAATTGATTAGGGATATTGGGATATTAAGAACCGTCTAGAACACAGATCACGAATATAAAACCATTCCACTTTCGAGGCTCCGGCTCCTTTGTTAATCTACCTAGTCGCTAAACTTTTGGTATGTCCCTAGGTGATTAAATCAAGCTTTAGAATGAATAGGTTCTGATACAGTTCACTAGATTATAGTAGATCAACTTTCGCAGTCTAAGAAACCTAGCTTGTCAAAGAATATGTCCGGCGAATGATACAACACTTTCGAGGCTCAAATCAACCTAAGATCGGATTACTAGATGCGCGGTAAAGCAATCAGCATTAGTTAAGTGCACAAGACGAGACAAAGACTCTATGATAATCCCTAGCTAAACATCGAAATCAAAGATCATGCAAGCAACTCATTGATTAGTAACCCTAGCAACCTAACTAGTGGATTACTCAGACATGATCAAAGCAATAACACATAAAGATGAAGAAAACATGATTGCAATAAACTCAAAGTATGAAAATCGTGATACAAGGGCGGCTCTCTCTCTCAAGAGGCTAAAAAGTTGTATTTATAATGCTAGGTCTTCAGAGGCGGCATTAGGTCAAGCCGGGCTGTGAAAAATGTGAAACGGGCTTCAAAACGGGCTTCGGGTCGATCGACCGTTCGGACGGTCGGTCGGGACGGTCGGCCGGTCATCGGATCGTAGTCGGCCATCGGTACGGTCGGAACGATCGTGGCCGATAGTTTTCGTGTTCGGCCGACGGGTCGGACGGATGGATGAGTTTTGGCCGATGAAACTTGGCCGGTCACGGGACGATGCCTTCCTGTTCGCGGATGGGTCGGCCGCGGTACATGGGTTTGCCGCGCGGCCGCGAGCTTTGCCTTCCTGTTCGCGCGGCGCGGTCGTGCACGGCTTGTGGTGCGAGCTAAGGAACGACTCGACGGGACGTTGCTTTCCGGGTCGGGACGTGAGCTCGGCCGTGGACTTGGTGGGATGCGGATACGTGCGCTGGACGATCGCGGTATGTTCGTTCCACGATCGGCCGGTGTGCGCGGCCTAGGATGCAAATGCTCGATAAAGCCGTCTGGACCAGTCTTCACTATTTTGATCATATCTTCACTTCTACTCATCCAAATGATGCCAATCCAATTGCGTTGGAGAGTTAACTCACTCAGAGCACGCAGGGAACTGGTCTTGATGAAATCCATTGAGTAGATCTTTTTCTGGGCCCTCTTCAAAGTTGATGCTTGGATGGAGCGGCTTGAAGCGCAAATCCTATGGTTTTGCTCCAAAATGCATCATTTCACCTGTTTAGACTCTAGTACTATAAATCCAATAAAACTACCTTTTTAGATAGAAAACCTGCCAAAAACCATTAGAAAACAATGCTAAAACAGTATAAAAAGCATGTAAAATAGAGGTATATAAAGATGGAATGAAGACTTGATTAACACTTTATTACCTTGTTACAAGGAAGAGATACTTTGCATCGTCCCTGGTTCTTTTGATACAGAAGATTGCCTAACGTGGCTCCCACAGATGACGGGAGAATACTCGGTGAAAACAGGGTACTACGCAGCACGAGATCGAGCCCCATCAGACCAAATCCCTGCAGTCAACAACAACTTTAATTGGTTTTCAGAGGTATGGGGAGGAAATTTTGCTTCAAAATTGAAAATATTCCTATGGAAAGCGGTTCAAGGAGCCTTACCAGTGGGAGAAAACTTAGCGATCCGAGGAATTGTACATCAAGCAACGTGTATCCACTGTGGACAAGCTGAGACTACCCTCCATATATTCTTCCTCTATGAATTTGCCTAGGAAGTGTGGCGTCTAGCTCCCTTCCGAAATCAATTTACCTCTGGAACTTTTACAAATATCAAAGCAGGAATCAAAATCCTCAATGTGGCGGTGAGCTTACCGCCGACAGGAATCGGCGCCGGCACGTTAGCACCGTGGATCATGTGGAGCATATGGATGAGCCGGAACAACAAGATCTTCAATAATAGAATGTTCAATGTGCAGGAAACCCTAAATCTCGCCTCAATCCGGGGGCACGGGAATGGCAAGAGGCTCAAGAGAAGACACCGATCCGCTTCGTAGCGAACAGATCCAGTAGCAACCCGAGAAACGTGCGATGCCACACCGATGGCGCTTGGAGTAAAGAGCAAAAGATAGGAGGAATGGGATTAAGCTTCCACGATGGAAATCAGATCCCAATTACACAGAGATGAACAGCAAGGAAGCACATAGCATCACCGCTAATAGCTGAGGGACTAGCGATCCGTTACGCCCTAGAACATGCCCTTGATCTGAGTTTCTCCTTCTTGCATGTGACCTCAGATTCGCAGAAAATCGTTAGAGCAATCAATTGAGGAAGCCAGCTATCGGAGATCTATGGGATCCTCCAAGATATCGCTCATCTGTCTTCTCTGTTTGTCGATGTAATTGTCATTTCAATTCCCAGCGAAGCCATTTTGCTGGCTGATTCTCTCGCTAAACAATCTCTCCGTGCTCTTGAGCAATTGGGGAGTTATTGCGTTTTAATTTATGAAGAGGTTTTAGAACCAAAAAAAAAAACACTCAAGCCACATATCATTAGTAAGGCTGGGCATTTTTACCCGGATCCGAGGAATCGAACCGAACCCGACCCGAAAAGATGGAACCGAACCAAACCAGAATCGTTACAAATATTCAATGGGTCCAAATTTCGTATATCCGAAAAAACCAAACCCAAATCTGAACCGAACCAAGAACCGAGTGGGTACCCGAAATATTCAAAATATTAGTTATATATAGACTTAAAATAATCAAAAATAACTAAAATTACAATTATAAGTCTAAATAGTTATATATAGAACGATATAACCAAAATATTCTAGAAATCCAAAAAGATTTAGTAGAAGATCAAATGTGTGAATTAGGAAGGATAGGTCGCCTTACCACTCGGCCATGCCGCCAAAACGATAGAAACTATGGAATAGAAACATGTTTTTTTTTGTTATGATCGGGTATTCAGTTCAAAAAAACCTATTGGTGGATAAAAAGAGACAAGATTGAATATGACGAGACAAAAAAAATAGAATCGGAGAAGAGAGGAATTTTATTTACTTCTTATGATATTAAGTGACGAGATGAGATCTAAAGGAACGGAAAAGAACAGAATAGGACAAGACTCAAATTATATTTATAGGTGGAACGGGAAAAACAAAAAAAAAACATGATGAGAGAGGACAAAACAGAAATGTTGGACGGGACAAAATGAAAAGAAATGGAATGTGACGGGATTGGACCAGACTAGATGAAAAAGGACATAATGGGACAGGAATTTTGTCTACCCGTAATTATACTTAGAGACGAGACAGAGATTAGACAAAATGAAAATAAACTTAATAAGATATGATGAGACTGGATGGGGCGGACAGAACGAACGGGATGAGAAAGAACATGACAAGATGAAAAGAAAACAGAATGAGATAGAATCTACCCCTAATTATATTTAGGGAACGAGAAAATAATAAACAAAATGAAAAGAATCTTAATGAGATATGATAGAACTGAACAGGAGGATAATAAACAATAATTATATTGTTGCATTCCAAGACCCCACCACATATCTTGCAGTTAAACCTTTTTTCGACGTATGCCATTTTTCTCCCTTGTGTCAAACATCAAGCTCTGAACTTTTTTTATCTCCATATTTGACTCAACTCTACTTATTGCAGAAAGAGAGATACATGGTGACATACAGCCCCACCAAGGGCAAAGTATATGCACTTCTCAAGAATCAGGCAAACTCAGATGACATTCTCAAAGCGGCATTTCATGTACAAATGATTTTCAATCCCTGTCATATATCTCTCTAATTCTGTAGAGATGAATCAATTATAGCCTAAAGTTTCTCGTTCGGTTTCATGATAACATCACAGGCACATGTGCTTCTTCATTTCATGAATCAATCAAAAGTTAATACCCTATAATCAGTGAACAACCGGATCCTGATTTTGCTCCTGTGGTACATGAGCTCGAGTCTCGAATTTGCTGAGTCGTGTGAAATGGTTTCTACCTCATATGGCGTATTCAAAAGCAGGGCTGCAGAGCAGGTAACTTTGCAGAAATCTGTGTATATCATATGGTTTCGTTATGTATACAAATGATGATTTGGTAAGATGGTAAAGGAGTTTCCACTTTTGCTAGGGTTGCAGAATGTCAGAATCTCTGCTTAATCCTGGACGGGCTAGGTTATGTAATGCGCATGAAGAGGTGGAGTAAACTATTATATGTTAGAGCAGAAATTAGCACAATTTCCCTGAGCCCGTCACAATTAATAATACTATGTAAGTCCGGCCCGCTTCCACTTCCACGGCCTCAAAGAAAAGGAAGTACTTGGAGAAAAAGACTACATCCAAGAAAAATAGAAGGAGATCAACGCCAAAGAAGAATATTTCCAAAAGAATAATGGAAGAATATCTTGAAGAAGCCAACCTCCTCTCCATATAAATAGAAGACCCCCTATTCCTTGAAGATCATCCACAATAATTCAGAATCATCCACAAGCATCCAGAAATATTCAGAAAACCCTAGTCATAATTCGTCCTTTGTTCTTAGCTTCTCTATTCTTTTCGTATTCGTCTCGTCAAGCCTTATCGTCGAGACGAATCACCCCTTGTATCATCTTTGTCTTTGGTTGATCTAATAAAGAGTCTCTCTTAAACCTCACATCTCTTATCTTACTATTACTGTGTGATTTTGAGATTCAACATTATATGCTCTGATAATAAATTTCACTTCACACGATAAATTTTGCTGTCGTTGGTTCCATGAGGAAAAGAAAAAGAAACAGGTTTTCGTTGATACACGTTTAATTAACCATGCTGTAAAAATAGAATGATAATATTGTATCTAGCATTTGTAATTTAACAGATGAACCTTCTTTCTGTACCATTTCTCACAACGTTGTCATACACAAAGAGATATCACTATGCAAATGTGTTGGTTGAGGTGTAGACTAAAACATTATGTCTAGGTTTTGTGCATTTTGGCTGTATGAATATCGGATACGACTTATCGTAATCATTTGGAGGATAGGATGAGTATATTCTTTTTTTTTTTTTTTTTGGTTTGTCATCAGTCTCTATTCCTAAACCAACTCAGTGATCCAAACCGGTGGAACAAAGTTTACATAATACACATCAGTAGATAGAGCTCGAGCACTCCGTGCTAACTTGTCTGCCTTTGTATTCTTCTTTCTCGGTATTGAGCTATGAGAAAGAGGGGAATCTCCTTCTACATATGTCGATTTCTTCTAGCAAAGGTGCGAAAGCTGGCCACTCCTCCGGACTAGACACCATCTTGACGACGTCGGAGCAATCCGTTTCGAACATTATTACTTGTTTCCCTTGCCGTAGCATGCACTGCATAGCCCATATAGCGCCTCAACCTCTGCTTGCAGGGGCGAGAGTCCACGCCTTAAGTTGCAGGTGCCCAAAAGTTTTTCTCCTGTGTTGGTATTATAATTATACCATCCCAGCCCCGCCCGGGGTTCTGTAGCTTTCCACGATCCATCCACCTGACATATATCACCCTGAAACAGGGTATCTACTGATGGCCCTACTTGCAGGGGCACACCCCCTCGTTTTTCCTGGGCCTTGGCCCATGCAATGTCTCCGTGCCGCCAGGTTAATGGTATCATTGGGATCCCAATCATCATTAGAAAAAACCTTGTCGTTACGGGCTTTCCAAATGAACCAAATCAACCAAGGGTACATCCCCATCCTGTCATCCTCTGGTAGATGCCAAAACAAATGAGCTACATTTGTAAACAAACTTCCGTCGGGAATCGGTTGGGAGCCGTTGGAATTGGCGATAAAGCCCAAACCTGTAATGCCGGGGGACATTCAATAACATATGATTAATGGTTTCTGCAGCCATCCCACATCGCATGCACTGTGGGTCGACCTGCATTCCCCTGCTCCTTAGTCGTGCCCCTACAGATATGCATCCCGTTAAAACTTGCCAAATAAAGTGTTGAAGCTTTTGTGTACACTTTACTTTCCACGCGTGTGCTAGTAGCCGCCGTATATCTGGCCCAATGGGCACATTACTATCCTCCTCGTGGATTTGTTGCGCCAGGTCGTACCCCGATTTGACCGTATATCGTCCCGTTTTCGTGAAAAACCATCCCACGGAATCCGGTCTGCCGGCCCGTGATGTCGGTATCCCCAGATGGTAGAAACATCACTACTCTCGAAAGAGTTGATTTAATAGTGGTAGATTCCACGTTAAGGTTCCGGGTGTCATTAATTCACTTACCCGAAGATGAGGGTAAAAATGAACCCCGTTTCCCATGGCTGGCCTCGGGCGAGAAGCTGGAATCCATGGATCCCCCCAGACTAATATAGAGGTTCCAGAACCAACCCTTTTAATAAGCCCTTTGTTTACCAGAGGTCGAGCCGAGATAATACTCTGCCAGCCATAGGAAGGCGAGTATGATTTAATGGGTTCCAAAGGAGTTGTATTCCTATAATACCGTCCCTTGAAAACGCGTGAAAATAAAGAATCCGGGTTATCCATCAGGCGCCACAGCTGTTTCGCCAACAAGGCGGTATTAAAATCCTCAATCACTCGGAAACCCAGACCTCCATCGTTTTTATGTCGACAGAGTTTTTTCCAGGCCAGCCAATGCATTCCTCGTGTCTGCCCCGTACTACTCCACCAAAAATTTGACACCGCACTAGAAAGTTTATTTGTAACACCTTTAGGCAACCGGAAACAGGACATCATATGCATAGGCATCGCCGATATAACTGACTTAATCAGTACCTCTTTCCCCCTTTTGACAACCACTTTGAGTTCCATCCATTAATCCGTTTGTGCTGTCTGTCAATCAGGAAGCTAAAGATCTTCGTTTTAGCTCCCCCCATACTCTCTGGTATTCCAAGATATTGTCCCATCCCACCGACGTTGCCTATCCCCAAAATTTGATGAATCTCGGCACGTACTCCCGTATCCACCGTATGTCCAAATTGTACCGAGGATTTTGCAAAGTTTATTTGTTGTCCCGATGTAACCTCATATTCCTTTAGAATCTGTAACAGTACCCGGCTCTCTTCACTAGTAGCTCTACAGAAAAAAAGACTATCATCTGCAAACAGCAGATGGGAAACCGCTGGGCTTGCCCGGGCTACCTTCAACCCAGTAATCCTCTTCATTTCTTCCGCTTTCTTCAGATTTGTTATTAATATTTCCGCGCATAAAATGAATAAATACGGAGATAGGGGGTCTCCTTGTCGGAGTCCTCTATGAGGTGTGATTTGACCTCTTGGTTGGCCATTAATTAATACCTTATACTTTACTGATGTGATGCACCGCATCATCCACACAATCCATTGTTCTGCAAAGCCCATCTTCCTCATTAGGGCTTCCACAAAAGGCCATTCCACTCGGTCATAAGCCTTACTCATATCCGTCTTTACCGCCATAAACTTTCCTTTGCAAGATTTGTTTGTCCGCAATCCATGGAACATCTCCTGGACTATCAAAATGTTATCCGAAATCAGTCGACCGGGAACAAAAGCAGACTGAGTCTCTGATATCAATCTTGGTAGTAGCACTTTAAGTCTCTGACAAAGGACTTTTGAGATAATCTTGTAACCCACATTACAAAGACTAATGGGTCTCAATTCTGTCATCCTAGTGGGCCGTGATGTCTTTGGTATTAGGCAAATATTGGTCATGTTCAATCTTTCATCAAAACTGCCAGATGTGAGAAAATCGTTAACCATGGTGAGAACATCCTCCTTAACTATATGCCAAGAACGTTGAAAAAACAAAGCCGTAATTCCGTCCGGTCCTGGCGCTTTCTCTGGATGCATCATAAATAAAGCCTCCCGCACTTCTGCTTCTGTCGCACGACGCGTTAAAACTTCATTCTCCGTTATAGTAATCCGCTCCGAAACATTTTCTAGGACTCCCGTAAAGTCCACCGGTAAATTGGACGTGAATAGACTATCAAAATAGTTTACCGCTACAGTCTCTATCTCTTTTTCTCCCGCCACCCAGACATTAGCCTCGTTATGGAGTCCCACAATCCGATTTATCGCTCGCCGTTGTTTGGTGGAGGCGTGGAAAAATTTCGTATTTAGATCTCCGTCCTTTAACCACATGTTCCTACTTTTTTGTTTCCAATATTCCTCCTCATCCCTATGTGCTTCCTTTAGCTTATTCGTAATAGCGGACAATTCATCCTGGGTACGTGTATCATCGTCTTGTGCTTCCGCTAACGCTTGTTGTAGATCCGCGATTTTTGTTTTTCCATATGGTTGGTTATTCTTTCTCCAGGTAGAGATCTCATGCCGGCAAGTGTGAATCTGGTCAACTAAACTCGGTTCCGACCCTCCTATGTATTTTTTCCACCCACTCTCGATCGAGTCCATCAATCTGTCAAGCCCAATCCACCGTTTATCAAATCGAAACTGTCTTCGCCTCTTTGTTATTTTTGAGTCCAAAGTAGCTAGAATTGGTCTGTGATCCGACCCAACCATGCTAAATATTCCACGTGAGAGCAAGGAAATAAATCATGCCACTCTTCTGTAGCTAACGCTCTATCTAGTCGACACCTTACTAATTTACCTCTGCGTCTACCTCGCCATGACAGGGTATTTCCCCGGCCCGGGAAATCCATCAAACCACAATCACTTATCATAAGATTAAACGGGATGAAAGTCGATGCCTGCCATAAAGCACCTCCTTGTTTTTCATGGTTGCCTGTGATCTCATTAAAATCTCCTATAAAAAATCATGGATCCGTCCGTATTGTCCCAATTCGTGTCAGGCGTTCCCAAACATTATCATGGAGTTTAACTACTCGATTATCGTAAATAAATGACATAAAAATTGTTTTACCGTTATGTTTGGCCTCAATATCGATAATCCTTTTATTGGAAGAAATGATAGTAACATCATGTATATTATTATAAAATAAGGCCAATCCTCCACTCGCACCATTTGATTCCACCATGAAGACCTTTTTGTTTTAAATTGGGATATTCATGAGTGACTTTAAAATGGATACCATGCGTTTGTTTTGGGGTATTTTAATATGAAAATCAGTCAACAGTTTCTTTTAAATTATGCAGAAAAAAAAACGTAAAGGATTGTGTTCTATTCTCCATAATCGCTCAACACGTGAAAGCAGCAATGGCTGTCCAAGTCTAGACCCGAGGAAACAGACATTACTGATTCCGATGATGTCTTTTGTTTTTCTAGAGTTTTTTGTACTAGTTATTTCATATAGGTAGACAGATTATATGATTGTTATACGTTTCGTACTTTCTTCATTAATGTGATAATATCACGATATATATGTCTATATTGTTGAAGTGCTATTAAACATCTATATATATATATAAAGCTTATGTCATTTTATTCTGGTGCTGCAATCTCAGCAGAAGAAAATATCTCTAAATTCAGCATATTTTATATATATATAGATTTTCTTTCTATTTTAACTTTTTATAATAATTATCATTTATTACTATAATAACTTAATAAAAATATGAAAGTTATTTAAAGAAACATTTTAAAACTTGAGAATTGGAAATTTTGTTTACTTCCTATTATATTAAGTGACGAGACGAGATCTAAAAGAATAGAAAAGAAATACATAAATTCCACCTACCTCTAAATATAATAATTATATTTAGGGGCAGAACGGAAACAACAAAAAAACATGAAGAGAGAGGACAAGACATAAAGGTTGAACGGGACATATCATAACGGGATGGGAAGAGACGGGACATGAATTTTGTCTACCCCTAATTATATTTAGAGACGAGACAGAGATAAGATAAACATGACAAAACGAACGGGATGGGAAAGAACATGACAAGATGAAAGGAACGGAATAAGATATAATTATATCTACCCTATTATATCAAGGAACGAGACAATAATAAACAAAATGGAAAGAACCATAATGGGATAGGATAGGACTGAACGAGACGGAACATACATGACGAACGGGACGGGAAAGAACATAAATAAGGAAAATGAACGAAATGGGACGAGATGGAACAAGATGGTACAAAAAATTTGCCTAACTCTAATTATATTTAAGTAATATGTCTATAATATCTTTGAAACAATATTAAATTTGCGGAAAAACAATAAAACTAACACAACCTGCGCGTAGCGCGGATCACCCCCTAGTACTATTATAAAACTTGACCTGTTGACCCCCTGACTTTTCTGACGAGAATACAAGCACATAAGCTGAATACTTTTATTGGAAAATACAACTTTTATAAAATTTAACACAGAAATGACTATCACAAAGAAAATGTTGATCGCACTTTTTCTGAGCTTTTTATTGGCTATATCTTATGTCAAATGATCTGCTGAGAGTATTGGTACTAACTTATTATTATAACTCTATTTATTTTGTTATTTTGAACATAATTTTTTTTTATGTGAATATGCATAATAGTTTATTAATTTTTGTGGAATAGGGTCTGGAAAATGGAGCGACTATTGGCAGATATGCTACAACAAAAATCAGTGGCAAGGGATGACTTGCAAGGCGTTCTGCCTGAAAACTTTAGAAGGATCGGTATCCGGTGAACTTGTTACGGAACACAGATGTTGTTGTAGAAATTATTATAACTTTTTATAAAAAAATTATTATCCTATAATAATAATAATAATGATAATATAAAAAAATTTCTATAGTTGTGAGTGTTAAACCAAAATCATACAAAATTGTATTCAGTTTCATTTTACTGAAGCAAATTTGGTGGAAATCCTAACAAAATATTAAACAAAGTGCAAGAAAGATTTTGGTTTAGTCGGAGTAATAGCCAGTGATTTTATTCTTCCAGCTTGCAAATGTGGTTGTAGAAACTCTTATGATCTTATCTAATATTTGTATCTGCTAGAAACATAATTATCATACTTTAGTTACAATTATAAAACCGAGAACGTTACAGTATATATAAATCATACAGTAGTTAATTGTGTTGGATTTGATTTTATGAGCGAATTGTGTTCCTTCTTTCCTTAGAGATGTAATTCATAATGACACGTGTTGAGCATGTATTTATTCACCGTTTAATGAAAAAAAGGAAAAATCCTCAATTCTCTCTCTCTCTCTCTCTCTCTCTCTCTCTTGGCCCATGGAAATGAATCGAATCGCCTTCTTTCCGATTCGTTTCCGGCGATCGGTCTCATACGGAGCTCCTATCGTGGCAGATGGTGGTTGCATCTGTCTATATCTATCCCTCTCCTTCTCGTACCAAAATTGTGTTTTAATCCTGGTCAAAACTGAGTTCCTTTGTTTAGGGGTTTTGATAAGGTCTGGTTTTTTGTTTATAGGGTGAGGAGAAAACAGATAGGCCATGGAATATCAGAGAGTCTTATCAGTAAAGTCACTCGTGGGTTGTTCAATCTTGGAGAAACTTAAGATGAAGATGACTCTATAGCTCTGTTTGAATACAATAGAGAGCTTTTTTGGGTGCTCCGTTCACAACTTTGTTCATTTAAATTATTTTTTTGTGCATATATCTCCCATTCCCCAAAACATCGCGAAAAAAAAAACAAAAGAACCTAAAAGACCAATGGGACCAACACCAGAGTTTGCTAAAGACTTGAAAGTGGCGGATCTTCTGCTACCACAGTCAAGAGGATGGAATGAAGACTTGATTAACACTTTATTACCTTGTTACAAGGAAGAGATACTCTGCATCGTCCCTGGTTCTTTTGATACAGAAGATCGCCTAGCGTGGCTCCCACAGATGACGGGAAAATACTCGGTGAAAACAGGGTACTACGCAGCACGAGATCGAGCCCCATCAGACCTAATCCCTGCAGTCAACAACAACTTTAATTGGATTTCAGAGGTATGGGGAGGAAATTTTGCTCCAAAAATGAAAATATTCCTATGGAAAGCGGTTCAAGGAGCCTTACCAGTGGGAGAAAACTTAGCGATCCGAGGAATTGTACATCAAGCAACGTGTATCCACTGTGGACAAGCTGAGTCTACCCTCCATATATTCTTCCTCTCTGAATTTGCCCAGAAAGTGTGGCGTCTAGCTCCCTTCCGAAATCAATTTACCTCTGGAACTCTTACAAATATCAAAGCAGGAATCAAAATCCTCAATGTGGCGGTGAGCTTACCGCCGACAGGAATCGGCGCCTGCACGTTTGCACCGTGGATCATGTGGAGCATATGGATGAGCCGGAACAACAAGATCTTCAATAATAGAAGGTTCCATGTGCAGGAAACCCTAAATCTCGCCTCAATCCGGGGTCACGGGAATGGCAAGAGGCTCAAGAGAAGACACTGATCCGCTCCGTAGCGAACAGATCCAGTAGCAACCCGAGAAGCGTGTGATGCCACACCGATGGCGCTTGGAGTAAAGAGAAAAAGATAGGAGGAATGGGATGGAGCTTCCACGATGGAAATCAGATCCCAATTACACAGAGATCAACAGCAAGGAAGCACATATCATCACCGCTAATAGCTGAGGGACTAGCGATCCGTTACGCCCTAGAACATGCCCTTGATCTGAGTTTCTCCTCCTTGCATGTGGCCTGAGATTCGCAGAAAATCGTTAGAGCAATCAACTCAGGAAGCCAGCTATTGGAGATCTATGGGATCCTCCAAGATATCGCTCATCTCTCTTCTTTGTTTGTCGATTTAATTGTCGTTTCAATTCCCAGAGAAGCCAATTTGCTGGCTGATTCTCTCGCTAAACAATCTCTCCGTGCTCTTGAGCAGTTGGGGAGTTAATGCGTTTTAATTAATAAAAGAGGTTTTAGAACCAAAAAAAAAAACACTCAAGCCACGTATCATTAGTAGGGCTGGGCATTTTTACCCGGATCCGAGGATTCGAACCGAACCTGACCCGAAAAGATGGAACTGAACCAAACCAGAATCGTTACAAATATTCAATGGGTCCAAATTTCTTATATCCGAAAAAACCAAACCCAAATCCGAACCGAACCAAGAACCGAATGGGTACCCGAAATATCCAAAATATTAGTTATATATTCAAAATATTAGTTATATTTAGACTTAAAATAATCAAAAATAACTAAAATTACAATTATAAGTCTAAATAGTTATATTTAAAACGATATAACCAAAATATTCAAGAAATCCAAAAAGATTTAGTAGAAGATCAAAGGTGTGAATTAGGAAGGATAGGTCGCCTTACCACTCGGCCATGCCTCCAAAACGATAGAAACTATGGAATAGAAACAAGTTTTTTTTTTTGGTTATGATCGGGTATTCTGTTAAAAAAAAACCTATTATTGGATAAAAAGAGACGAGATTGAATATGACGAGACGAAAAAAAATAGAATCGGAGAAGAGAGGAATTTTGTTTACTTCTTATGATATTAAGTGACGAGACGAGATCTAAAGGAAT